TGCACGGTCCCGATTTTTTTTTTTTTTTACCATTACCATTATTATGGAAAAAAATCGGATAAAGGTCACGAGAATGACTTGAAGAATATAAACTTTCTGCAAATTGAAATATATATATATATATTTTTTTTTAAGTAAAGGTTGGGAAAAATGTTTATTTGTCCTTTTCTTGGTTCTCGGAAAGTCCCACTGTTCCACTGAAACTGTTCCCAGGAACAATCGTTTCAAAGAACCGAGGTCATGAGCAGCCGCCAAGTGACTTTTTTTTTTTAAGTGCTGAAGGAAAAATACAATTGAGAAAAATCGAATCGAGAAAATTACGAGATAAAAAAAAACTGCTATAAGCATTTAAAAAATTACAAATGCACGAGAGAGAGTACTGTATATATATATTTTTTTTTTTAAATAACCCGAAGTATGAATTAGGAGGGTACTCTCGGTAATGCCCCGGATTACAAAATAAAGGTTCCTGACGTTATTCGGCGTCGACTGTAGCAAATATATGGCGGATAACACTTTGAAGGCGGGATGAAAAATTGATAACTTTAAAATGTAATTTTTTTTCCATTACCGAGGCTTAAAAAAAAAAATCTTCCTGTCAACTGTTAAAAGCAATGCTAAAAGCCCAGCGAAAAGAAGCATCAAGTCCCAAGCAGAGGCTTACCGAGTCGGGTCTCATCCACGGGATGGCAGGAGGATGTCATCCAGGAGACGGCAGGAGGATGTCATCCACGGGATGGCAGGAGGATGTCATCCAGGGGATGGCAGGAGGGTCCGGGGAGGTGTGCTTCCACTTCACACTGAAATAATACAAAAATGAGGAGAGAAGCCACTCCTCTTTGGCCTTAGGGTGAGTGGAACCGTCTGCTTCTTGCATTTTCTTTTTTATTTTTGCGAGGTTGGAGATGTTCTCTTGTGTGAGTCGCGACGAAAGTTTTTCTGGGTCGACTCCCCGAAAGTTCGCCCCGTCACCGACAGCCATGCACTTTCTTGTCTGACCTTGTCGGATTTCCGCGACAAAAAAAGGGGGGGGAAATTAGGGCGTCGCTGAATCCACCCAGTCTCATCGACTCGTCTCGACGCATTAAATGATAACTTTTTTTTTTCTCATTGCATCGCGGCTCGAGTCGACGCAATTTTGTGATAAAACTTCGCGGAGACTCGACGCTCCCGTGACTCCGGTACAAATGAGCCGCCATCGTGCCTTAAATTCCCGAGGAAGAGAAACTCGCCCCCCTCCGGCATTCACCATTTATCAGCCGAAAGCAGAAAATGCACTCGGCTCGTTCCCGACGGTGAAAGCCACTCGCGGGCTTCCTCGATATTCCGAGAGTAATGAGTAATTACTCATTACTCGAGTGATGACATGCTCGAAGAAATCTTTTGTCATCGGAACAATTTCACCATATGAATCGTCGCGGAACGCAAGAAACCAGTCCATGGACGTGAGCGGTTCCGGGTGACGTCATCCATGGGAGCCTGCAAGGGATTGGCACGCCAGAGGAGGACTCTAATCGAGGTTTTCGCAGTTTCAATACGATTTGGAGGGCTTACGGCGGAATGGAAGCGCGGAAATCGATCGTCCTTCGCAGTAATCTCGCGGGAGATACGGCATACCTTGCGATTGTTTCCTGTTACTATCGCGGGGGGCATTGAATGGATTGCTTTCATCCGGAGACGCTTAACTGTTCCGAGAACTGCGCGGTGACAGGGAAAGAAAGAATCGAACAGGATTCTAGGGTATGAAAATGCATAGAAGGAAACGGGCGGAAGGCTCGGCATTCTTCGCGTGGATAACCGGTTTGCGACGATTTCTCGGAAGGCGCAAGGGCCAACTTGCGAGGCACTCGGGGAATTCGCTCGAATGCGGATTCGTATCGCAATACGCGACATGCACGCGAAGCGAGGGAAATGCTGTATCATGTAGGAGTTACTGAAGAAACGTCTAGATATTATGCAATTTCATGCATCGAGGCTCGTTCACAGTCAGTGGCCATTCATCAATATCACCAGCTGCATTACGATGCCAAGCGAGCAGCATTAAGGGAAACTCGGGGGGGGGGGGGGAGGTGTTTCCGCGTTCTACAGGATGTCGGAGGTTTCTCAATCGGTTTCGGGAAAGCAAGTAGCCTTGTGCATGCCAAGCATAAGGTGCAATTAGATTCAGACTAGGAAGACAGCAAATTGAGAGTTTCTGATGATGGGATCTGTAAATATTATTAAATGTAAATTCTCAGGCTTCAGGCAGTTGCGAGAAATTATGGAACAAAAAGGAGAAATTGCACAATTTCATCAGCTGCGTCCCATTTCCGTCTACCCCAGGCAAACACACGCGACATGGTTTCTTTATGAATACATAACGAAAGCTCCTTTGAGTCTCACTGAAGACAGTTCCTCCGTATACTGTATTCCCCATTCATGAACAAGGGGTGCTACTCGGAGGAGTCTCTTTCAATTGCGTGCTCCCCAAAGTCTGCTTGGATTCTTATTAGTCTCCTCTTGAGTAAAGCCAGACTCGAAAAAAGGTAAGTTTGTTACTCCACAAAGCAAAGAGGATCAAATACATCACTTTTCCAGCCCAAATTAATTTCTATTCTCCGCAAAAAAAGAGCATTTTGAATGACATTTAAATTAATATAAAATTTAAAAAGTAAAATAATAATCTCTTAAATGCAAATCGAGTCATAGGCTTAAAGCAATGCCTTAATATATATAATTTTCCCATGACGCCATATGAGCTCATTGGGCTGGAAAGGGTCAAACAATTAAAAATGTAAGCAATTTTCCTTTTCAGAGTGCTAAATAGAAACGTACATCCTGAGCCCAAGTACGGAGACGGAAACATGTCTATGTTGGGGATGGTCTACACTTTCTGTGCAACCTTCACATAATCCCCGAGGAAATCGCAGGACACTGGGTGGAAGAAAACCCCTTAAAAGAAAGTCCTCAGGAATGGTCAGTCTTGTGCTTATTTCCGTTGCTAGCTTATGGAAAATTAATGCTGCAGGGTAGATGTATAAAGTGACCAACTCTTTATTGGAAGGTCAAAAAAAAAACATACGTACATACGTAGTTCCTCGACATAAAAGTCCCATATTTAAATCGCTCAGCATAGGAAACATTGTCATAGAGGGAAAATTAACCAAGAAAGACCAGGAATCCCCTGGGCAGAAACATTGAAACCAGACAACAGAAGAGAAAAAAATGACACAAACACAACCATTCTTTCTACTTGTATGCACTTCCCAGCAGTGGATGTGGGACACAAGAGGCAACAACAATCTCATCGTCTCACTTTGATTGTAGGGAGCTCTTCTAAAGCACAGAGAATAGACTCTGATCGTGGTCATAACAACAATGGAAATAAACTACTCTCTCTCTCTCTCTGATAAAAGAGCCTTCCTTCCAGGTTACGGTCTGAGTAGGCATATTAGAAAAAGATGGGAAAGGAATAGAAGAAGGGGGAGAATAAGACAAAGGATCTGATTGGCAGCACCATTTTCTCAGTGGTTGGTGGGGATTTCATTTTTGAGCCACGTGACGGGGACCCACTGGGGTTCCCGCTCAAGGAGGTTGATCTCATGGATCAACTGCTGGTAAGTTCTCTCCAAGTCCACATTCACCAGGGTCAAATCCAGGTAATGGCCATACTTTGCCTCCATATCCCGGGCTTTCTCAATCAGTGACTTCAGTTCCTCATCCTGTCAATAGGCACACAAATTCAACTTCAAGCATGTGTGGGGGATGTGATTCTTGAAATATTAAAAAAATTTGAATTAGCAATGCCATAACAAAGAAAAAACAACTGAGAAACCAGGAAGGCTTCAACTGAATTTTTAAAAATTTTTATCGGTGAGCTCCCATGTCTTAGTGTTTTAATGTATAAAATGTGCAAGATTCATATTATTATATAAACTCTCAGCATACTGCTGTAAAACTATCAAGGCAAGTCTTTTCTTGCTTAGGTCTATTGTTTGAAGCTAACAGATATGGTAAGATGAGGCTGACCTTGACTGATAGACCCATCTTCTGTCTATTTCTTTTCAACATCTCAAGGTTTGGCGGGGCTATAAAAACGACAAAGGGCTTCAGATCGGAATTTTTGAGGATCTTGAGGCTCTGAGGATGGAGGTTAAGGACACATATTTTCCCACTGTTCACCACAGAGCGAATTGCATCAAGGCTGGTCCCATAATACTGCTTTTCATACTCCCCATGCTCTACAAACTTCCTTGCTAAGATATCTGCCTCAAACTGGGGTCTTGTGATGAAGTAGTAGTCCTGGCCATCCACTTCGGTGTCTTTCTTCGGCCTGCTTGTATCTGTTGGGAAATATGAAGTAGGTTCTGGATGAAATAAATCACAAAAGGCTGGCACTTGTAAAGAGGGTCTAGTTTCTCTTCCAGGAAAAGGTTACATTTTAGGCTGTGGATGATAAATGAATGTCAAATTAGGCCTAATAGGTCACATGCAGGATGCTACTGATCATTAAGGGTATCATTTGCCAGCTCCTTGTTTTGAAGGAAGTGGTCTCATTTTCAAGCTGTGGATAGGGCAAGGAAGACTTACGAGGAATGGCAGCAGCAAATCGTTCCACATCTCTCTCCATGAGTTTCTGTCTCAGTTCATGACGACCAATGTTTGGAGGTCCGATCAGTACAATGGGCCGCTTCCTGTTTGCCCTGGGATAATACAACCCAACCTCTTCATATGTCAGGATCTCTTCTGCTTCTGCATCTTCATTGAGCTCAGAATTATACATTCTTTTCCTCTTCTTGCTTCCACTCTTACGAGCACAAAGTAGGGTGGCACTCTTGCGATGCTTGCTGTGCATATTGTTCCCATCATCCACAATGCTCTGTTTGATTGCTTCTCTCCTGTAAACAATGAGGAGACCAATAATCCACTAAAGGTCAATCAAAGCAAACAGGGGAATGGAAAAGGAAACTTACTGCTCTTGGAAGGACTGGGATGGTATGAGGCCTGCGAGTGCCATATCTTCCTCACCCTCACGGTAGGCCTGCCACCAGTGAGGGTCCTCTCTATCAATCACATGCAAAATCTCTCCCTTGCGAATATTCAGGCCCAGTTCCCGGCATGGGATATAGGGATCATCGTCCGGATCATAATCAAAGTGCGCTTTTACGTGCATCTTCAAGAGAGAAAAGAGCAGGGTTGGGTCATGGCAGACTTGTGTGCCAATGGGTTTAACTTGAGAATGACAGGAGAATCAGAGTGAAAACAATAGAATAAAAGCATCAAGTGCCAGACAGCTATCAGTAATGATGGTGATGAAATAATTAGCAATTTTGTCTGCCAAAAAAAGAAAAGGCCCCTACCCAACATTCAAGACATTCTTGGTTTATGAAAATTCTCTCCTTCAAGGGTTTTACCTAGTTACTGATGAGGTCTAATGCAAGATAAGAAGGAAGTTCCTCATGACTTGTGGCCAAAATGTCCATTTATTTGAACAAAAGGTGTCTTTCTCATAGCAGGGAATTTCTGTTTGACTTCATGTAATTTGGCAATACAGTCATTCCTGGTGATGACAGACAGTGCCCATAGCACACTATAGCAGTGGAGGATGAGACTTTGGAATTGGATAGGTATCTCCATTTGGGATTGAATGACTGACTAAGACTATTGAATTCTCTGACAAAAACCTGCCCTTAGTTTAATACATTGCATTTCTATTACTGCTGAATAGTTAAAGCACTTCCTGTTAAATTATGGATGTCTTCATCACCTTAAGTTGCCTTCTTGTCCTTTCAGGCTGTGAGAGTTTTTGTTTATACATGTGTATGCATCTCAGAACTGATGAGCCTTGGCACATTGATGAAAGATGTAAACATAAGGATGCAACATACAACAGGTGTGGGAGTTGGTTGGGGCTGAGCTCGCTCGGTACGTGCTGGAGAGATGATGAATTCCAAGGTCCCAGTCATCCCTGCCAGTATATCACAGACATCATTGACATTCTTCCCTCTCATGGAAATCCCATTCACATCAAGGATCTCATCTCCCTCATGGAGAAGCCCAGTCCTTGCTGCAGCCCCCCCCTTCACAATCCTTCCTATCACGACTGCCTCTCCCTCATTCCTCACAGTTGCTCCCTGCAAAGCCACAAGAGTGAATTGAATTGACTCAAGATAATCCTCTACTTGAGATTACATGATGTTGAGAACCATAAAATGAGACACTTACGAGAGGATCTGAGGTCTTCTCAAGGGTGACAACTTTGACACTGCCATCCGTGTAATGGGCGGCACGATCCAAAATGGCACTGTCTTGGGACACGGGCAGGGGAAGGGTCATTGCGACCTGGTCATGAACATGAAGTATTCCCCTCATATTCTCTTTATGCAGTAGTTCCATCAATTCCATTGCCTCTGGACATGAGCTCTCTTTCAGCTTCAGAATGCACTGTATCAGAAATGCACAAAACACATTGAAATAATATTTATGAATCTATGTGCTGTTAGTCATCATTCAAGTCTCAGAAACACATGCTTTGACAGAGATGCTTGGAGAACCATTCACCTCATTGTTATTCTTCACTCAATTCAAGCATCAATGACAGAGACATAGCCCTTCTGTCTTGTAAACACTATTTTTTTTTGCATGAGCAAGCTCTGAATGTATGCTTAAGAAAGACTGAAAGTATGACATCTCTTCCTTTATGTGGTTTTGCCCTTTGTTATGACAAGTGGAGGCCTTTTATAGTTTCTAAACAAGACCAGAGAAAATATTCTACATAGTATCTTAAACAACTTAATAGCATTTAGAAAATAAAATAAAATAAAGGCTCCATACATGATTCTACACTCTTTTCCTCTGCGACTTCTATTTCACAATCTCCAACATAAAAAAGTTCCTTTCAAGCCATCAGTTTTCATAAGCTTTCATTGGAAAGCAAGGAAGCAGAACCATCTTTCTTTTGATCCTACATTATACTCACTAATTTATATGAGATGTGAATTCTATTTGCTTTTATATCTCTATCTCTAACCTGAAGTAAATGCAGAAGAGGGCACATGAACACAAAAGAAAGACTATTTATGAATGGGAGAGTGGCAAATTCTCATAAGCTTATAGATATAAATATCTGCATTTTCTTTCTGAACAATCACTGGATAACAGTTGAGTGAATTAAGAGAATTTGTCAAAACTGCATCCAAAGGAGGACACATGATACAACTTCACATTTTCACCTTCAAATTCATCTTTCATCTTCATCATCAAAGTATTCAAAATTAAGTCCTGGACAGATACATGCAAGGAGAAGCTCTGGAAATTCAGTCTTCCTAGATATACAGTCTAAATAGGCACAACTTAAAACTGACATCTACATCCTGGAATAAGGTACTGAAGCTAATAAAGCTTGACAGCCTCACTCAGCAATGATGTCCGTTACACAGCAGGGCAAAATAAAGGAAATGAACTTTGATTAAGACTCCTCTCTCCCTTGTTGACAAAATAAACAGAGGGAGGCTGGACTTAATCAATGACAAAGGATAACACCATGGAACTAGGAAATCCCTGTGGGATTTCCCTTGAGAAATAACAGTCACCAGGAATTTCTCTTCAGGCCTTCCAGATCAATTTTTTTTTAAAGCATTAAAAGGGAGACAAAGCAAAGGATTGTGTGACATTGAAAAAACATCAATGACGATGCAATAACTAATAAAATGGCACATAAGACAGGTACAGACTAAGGGATGTATTGACTGACATGTTCCAATTGAAAATTTTCAAAGCAAGACAGGGCACTCCTATGAAAATGAACTTGACAGTAATATATTCTGATGTTATGCAACATAGCAATAGAAGTCTCACCATGAAGCATATTGTGTCTTTCATGCAAGTACTTAAGAAGAGAGATGGGTGGGACAGGATGAGTGGCTAATAGCCCTAAGAATTAAATGAATTAATATTGGATAGTATTTTTTAATGTACATAAGACAAGTGGGATTCTTCATAGAAATGATGCTAGAAAGAGCCTTTTCCTCTCTATTCTCCTTAATATAACAAGCACCTAGTCCATGGATGATAGAGTATGAAATTTAAGGCATTCTGCTCTCTTCTGTCACAATTTTAAAAATCCAAAATCAGCTGAATCTCAAAGCTGTAACATAAAATACTGCTTCATGAGTTATTTTTTTAAATTTTAGTTTATAAGTTATGTACAGGAGTCAAACCAGTATAATGACAGAAATCTTCGATAAATAAAAAAAAAACTACCATATGTTAGAGCATTTAATGCATTCACCAAAGATTTACCAGTAAAACTTGGCATCTACTTACCTCTTGGACGAGGGACTGTACATTGTCTTGGCACGGAGAAGGAGGTGGTTTCCCACACAAATAGTTGTAGATTGCCAGAGTCTTCCTGAACAGGGGGTCAGTCAGAAGCTCTGTCACAGGTAGCAGGTCAATAGACTGACCCATACCCTTCAGCTGTTTCTGTAGTCGATGTGTGCAATCCAGCAACTCAGTGAGTTCTGTGAATTGACCATTGCAGAGATTCATCAACTGATCTTGGACCACAGACTCTGACTTCCAAATGGAAAAAAAATACTCAAAAGGATAGCTCACCAACTGCTCGACAGGGGGCTGCCATACTTAGAGGATCCTCTTCATCATAGGCATCATTCACCAGTCCTGATGAATCATTAAGATGATGAGGAGAGAGCTGGGGCTTCTGCTCCAGAGCCTGGAGCTTTTCAGATCCTCTGAGGGAGGAGCGAAGGAAATCCTCTTCAGCAGCCTTTCTAGCTTCCTGTTCACGTCGCTGTGCCAGCTCCTCCTGTGAAAATGGAGTAGTGATCAACATGAAACTCTTCATGAAGTAGAAAAAAAAAAAAAAAGTAGAACATCAAGTAACCAGCATCAACTGCACCTTAAATTAGTTCAATTTCCATTACCTAGCCTGAAACACCCATGCTTTGGGCTTGTTCTTTATTTTCCTTGTTTTTTCATTTTCTTCAAGAAATGTTAATGTGGTTTCAGAGAAACAAACTCAATTTGGGTCAGGATAATCTATAGATCAAATTATGACCTTGAATATGAACAAACTCTTAAGAAAAATTCAAGAACATACTTTTGTATGACTGTTTTCAGATATTAAGCCATCCATTCAGGCTGAAAGAAATTAATAACCTTAACTCTATGAGACTACCAAGACAGTGTTGACAGTCACTGCACCAGATAATAGGTTTTCACTGGCTGATTAGGCTAATTATACCTGCCATAATTCTCAAATCAAAGAAGCTAGGATTCATTGCTAGGGAAAGTGAGGATGAATGGCATTTTAAAAAATTCATAATTAGATATTAAGGATGAAGAATTGATGCATCTATGTAAGCACCTATGGGTTGTTCCTTAGGTCAAGAATACTTATTCAGGAAACATTCTTTTATACACTAGGAAATGGTGAGCTTACATAAATTAAGCATCGGTGATTAGGAAACTAATAAATTAATTTTCTCATGATCTCTCATTTTGAGCTTGTCCCTGAACCCTTGGAAGCTCCTGTCTTTCATGTTTTACGTTACTTGTTTACCTTTGTTGACTGGAACTGGAACAACCTAACAGATTATGCAAAATTATGAGACAGCAGAACTAGACTTCTTTAGGACCCAGTGTCCCCATGGGACTTCCACCTTCCACAGCAAGTCTTCACCTATTGGACAATCCTTCCATATGAATATTAACAAAAAAGTAATAGGAGTGAACTGAGATGAGGAAATGAATCTATAATAACTTGCAAAGGCTACTCTAGCAGTCTGTGAATGCTCAGAGGTCCAAAATCTCTGGATATAAGGATGCACCAACCTAGATGCAACTGATACAAAATTAATTACATTTAAAAATGTGGGCATCATGATATCCATTTAGTCTGGACTGGTTACTGACGCAAGCTAAAATTTCATAAAGCCAAAGAGAGACTGTATCCATAAACATAATTTGACCCCTGGTTGTGATTAGCCTCTCTTCTGGGAGCTATAGATATAGGCTGAGACTCTTGGCCTGCTATAGTGGAACCAAAAACAAAAACAGCCTTGATAGATTGTCCATGTACATATTGGCAGATACTGATCTTCATTGATCCTATGTCAGCTGACATCCAATACCTGGTATTCCAATAAGAGCATCCCTTCAAGATAAGTATGTGCATCCCACATGTTGAGTATTGGTTGTTGAGGAGGCACACTACTCTGTATGAGATTTGCTACATTTCTGCATCAAATTGAGGAATTATGATCAGGCAATTTATGATGAAACATCACCTCTGTGCTGAAAGAAAATTAAGTGGAGAAAGACAGCAAACAGTCTTTCACACACTCCTACACTTTAGCTATACCACTGAGTGCATCAGAAGTACTGGGAAAAGAACCTTCCTCTTGTGTTCCTTTTTTGGGTCTCTGACCCCATTTCAAGACCTCTGAGGTTGAGAGGATCTACTCCTTTTCTGTAAGATGCATGAGAAAAGCAGCATCTTCTCTCATGGGGCAAGCAAGAGGAACAGGGATACCAAATATTGCATTCCACTTGAACTAAATCTCAAACAGAATCACATATGTTCCCCTTTTCTGTAACCTTACCCATATACCTCTACTTGTAACCCATTAATATTACTGGATGAAGACAGTCAGAAGTCATTTAGGGCAACTATGGCTTTAAACACACATATTTACATGGTATTTCCAAGGGTCACTCTTGCTGTTCTGGTAGCCATGAAGCACACACATAGCAATGTATGACGGGTAAAATAGAGTACAGGGACAATTTTACTGCATTGAAGCTGATGGACATACACAAATCTAGTGTTATGATGGTGTGACCATTATGTCACGAGCTCTCATGATGGAGATGAAAGCCATCATAAAAATACACCTTGAACACACTCAAAGAACAAAGAGTTAGTATATGTCAGGAGATTCACTTCATTCCTCAAATAATGCTACATGCAGCAATGTGGCATGTCCTGCTATGCCTATGATCATCCTAGCTATCAAAGCTACATTGAACCATCGCTATCATAATCTTGGCTGTGTTTTGCATATGTAGGTCACATGCTATGATGGTGGTACCATCCTTTTTTTTTTTATTCACATCCAGACAACACCTAATACCTCCTGTCTTAGGTCACTCCATGTGCACTTCATAGCTGGCTGAAAAGCAAAGTTCAGCCAGCTATGAAATGACTTTAAAGCAACTTGTGTACGGTGGTATGGGATCAACGTCACAAATATCCCAGGATTGCATGATATAGGGACTTGTTTCTGATTTAGCCTTTAACTCACAACTGGGATTCACAAAACCCCAAGAAAAGTATTCTTAGACTTGCAACTGAGATCTCCTCCATCCCAAGAACAATGGGAGTATGTACTTCTTTATTTTGGACACCCATATACCCAATTCCTATAATTTGGACAATACTGATTGCTGTTGTCATGGCAATGTATCTAAAGGGATGCCAATAGAGCTAAACAGGGTTCACTAATGGCATTTAAATCCACATTATAAAGGTTACATGAGTGCAGATACTTCTTGCACTCCAGCATTACTTTAATATTAATGCTCAAAGCATTAGTGGGATGTCCTTCTCCCACCTGAAGAAAGGGATAGGATGGCTGGTCTCTTTGCTCTGTCCAAAGACAGTGGTGGATAGAGCCAGGCAGGGGGTATGCCTAAGGGGAATGTTACATGAAAACATGATTTATGTTCACTGATGTACTGTTCCTGGCCCAATTTACCTTCTTGACAATGAGAAAAGTTTCTGATTGGCACTCTCCCACAACTCACAATAAATACAATAAAATGTGGCAGTAGCAAGGCAAGGTTGTACATGATCTGTACAAAACTAATGCACATTAAAAAAAACCTGGGATCTGTTTGTCCCATCTTCACTCTCACTCTTTTTTGGTCTCTCTATCCTCATCAAAACACATGCACTCTCATTTGATATGAATCTCTGGAGAACATAGATCACCACCCAACCTATTGGATGAGGTGTACACAAGCACCACCAGACTGCATCTTTATGTCAATGATGCAGTGACAAACACATCTAGCCATTGTTCAACCTATTGATGGCAATTCTACAATTGGCAATAAAAACTAGAAAATACTAAAAACTAGCTAAGACATGAGCCTTCTATTTCCACCTGACTTCATCTATAGGGAAAACTCATTAATCTCTTAGATTTTATGGGCAATGAATGTACCTTAGTTATCCCATCCCAAATATCATTTCATTGAGTCTAATGAGGAACAATGAAGAGGAAAGCAGCCTCACTTGGTACTTGCGGACCCTTTCTTGTTGCTCCAAATCATTTTGGACAGGTACAGGGTCAGAAGGCGGCTGAGCTGCTTTTTGAATGCTTCCATTGGAAACAACAGGTGCTGTCACAGCTATGGATGTGCTGTTTGACCCAGCAGATCTTCTTTTGGCACTTCCCAGTTGGTTTGTCTTTGGAGGGGGATATCTGGAATAATTAAAAAAATGAAATTCTATTGCAATGAAGTATGCCTCATCTTTGCAGCAAAAAATATTAGAGCTATTTGTAAATAATCAGACAGTTCAGTAAATTACCTGGGAGGGGTCTTTGTCCTTGCCATGAATCCTTCTGGAACATCCACAGCCATCTCCCTTCCCGTTCCATCAAATTCGACCATGTTGATCACATTGGAATACTGTGGCTCTGCACCAGTACCACTTTTCCTCACATAGGCCTTGTTGGCAGAACCGTTCTGACGCATATCTTCCTCACTGTCTTGGTCGTTTCCGAATTTCTCGGCACCCTGAGACGATTTGCTTTGATTCACAACAGAGCTTGAGTCAGTACCTGGCTCTTTATTTCGCAAGAGAACTTCTCGGTTGCCTGGCAACACAGAGTCACTTCCTGTTCCTTCTCTTGGGGAAGCCAGAGGCTTGTTATCACTACATGTATCACCGGTCACCTGATTCCCGTCATAACTTGTTTCGTGCAACGGTATGACCTTGGCCTGTTTCACCACATCAACACCAGACTTTCGATTATCACCTGGACTGCGAGATTTTGGCTCAGATTTGATGCCTATGTTATTCAGAGAAGTTTGGGAACTTTGAAGCTCTGGCACGGAGATATTATACACAGGGTTGTTTTCTATGAACCCACTGAAGTCTTCTTTGTCAGAAGGAGCTTGCTCAATTTGGTTGTCACCACTCAGCTGGAAATAATCCATATAAAGTGCATGAAGACTAAAATAATTCATCTACCATATTGACAGGACAGGTTTTTTGAAACACTCACCTGCTGAGACAGTTTTGTCATATCAACTGGTTTGATCTTTTTGAGGGCTGAGAGGCGTTCCAAGCGCTCTCTAGCTTGCTGTTCCACAGCAATGACAAAAGCATCTTGAACGCTGCTGTGTTGGGCAAGATCTATAGCTGAAAACAAAGAGAATGACTGTAAAAACCTTGGAGATATCTATACCCAATATAAAACCTTGACACTTGAGGTTATTTACAAACAGTATTGTAAATGAAGACTGTAGACAGAGTGAATCATGCTTCATGTGTAGGTGTCCTTCAGATAAGACCCACGTCAAGTGGCACTCACAAATACAAGAATATTACGACTATCAGATATCACATAATGACAATATCCACACCATGAAATCATTCTTATCATTATCAATTCTGGGCACGTATAGGTTCATCTAATCAACAGGTATGCATTCCACTGTTATCAGGTATTGTAATCAGCTGAACTTCAAAATGTCACACCATTCCATCAGGGCAAAGCATGAGTGTACCAGGTGATGTGCAAGTCAACTGCATGTGATGAAAGTATAAGGATATGATGCCTCTGGATCAATTTGATTAGAATCACCTCATTTAAGAGCAACAATTCACTCAGTGGTAAAAAAATGCAGTAGAAAGAAGTTCAACTCATGAAATATGGCAAACTAATAGGGGGATGTCAAGAAATTGTTTTCAAGTTTCAAGGTCAAAGCTTGAATCTTTATCAAGAAGTCTTATCACACAAATATCTAAAATAATATATGTTGTTGCAGGAGTAGGGTACATACAATCTCAAACCATGAGTGCTGCGCAGTGGGAATGTGGTATGCAGCAGAAAGTGGACTGGAGCAGAGACACATTCTAGATCCTGAGATACTCCACTTCAGTGGAGATAATAAAGGCTATGAGGCATTTGATTTCCCTGTGGGGCAATTGTTAATTCAAGGCCTAAAATAGGTACTCTGTAGGATAGTTTACTCTTCTCTCACCTTCTGTCAAGATCTCACAAAATATGTCAAGGCCTTTCTATGAGTGGGATGTGTGAAATATAATTATTGATTGCAATGCAATTCCTATATTCTGTGAGTGGTGACAAACCTGCAATCCACACAGACCTAATCGATAGCAATATGCTCGTCTTGGCACAAGTCCATCCAAATGTCATTTTGGGGTATCGAGTGATGAAACACAGGGTGCTACCTGGTCAGCTCATATTGCATTTAAGGTCATGCTTTAGCTCCTATTGTACTACCTCTTTATTACGCCGGAGTCTAACTGAAATCCGAACATGAATAGCTTCGGCATGAAGGCCAATTCACATCTGCTTCACCAATCAAATGAATTTCGGCTTATCTTATCAACCCTATGAATACCGGCCCGTAACGGAGTGCGCGAACAAAGTGTGAACAGCGAGCGGCACCTGATGTGCGCAACGGAAGGAATGCCGAGAATTAGACCCATGGCTTAAGCCTAGTCAACACAATGGCCCGGACGAAAGGTTGATATGCCTGACAGCTGTGGAGGATACATGCACCGAATTCACCTGTCAACGACAAGGTCATAGCTTATGCGAAACTATCGGACGGACAGGCATGAAAGCCGACTCTCGGGAGACGAACAGGTCAATAAGCACTGTTTGATTGCCCAAGTCAAAACTCAGCAACGGATGTGAGCTGTATTAGCCATTCACACTTGTCACGTTTCAGCTGAGAGGAAGGTTTGAGAATGGCAACACGTCCGGTGTGCAGAACGAGCTCGTGCGAACGCCACAAAGCCGAATAATGAATGCCATCACGAGAAGAGGAGCGGTCGGGTCCAGTCACTGGTTGATGGGGCCAGGCCGAAGCCAACCAAGAGCCAGCCAGCCAGAGTAGCAATGCAACTCTCAGCATTCCACAGCTGGGCGAGTCCATCCCACTACAACGAGGGGAGACAGGTAGACAGCGGCACAGGTGCGTCAGTAGAAGCCTGCACGGTCACGACTATTCACGCGTCCTGTCTCCATATCCTGTCCACCTCACACGGTCCCACGTCACGATTACTCAGTGATTCGGTTGCAGCTCGGGTGTCAAGAGTTCACCGACTGATGAATAAAAGAAATTCTGCTGGTTTGATGCGAATGACGCCCCGGGCTGCGTGGCGTAATAACGAAGTAACGAGAAGGCCACTCCAGGGAAACCCCCCTCTCTCTCTATTATGTCTCACAGGCCTTGGGCTCTATGCAAGCCCTTTTTCTCTCCTCCTGGCACGAAAACAGCAGCTCTTAGCCAGTTCTTGCAAAAAGGGCGCCCACATGATCGTGGGTGGGAGCCCTCATGCGCTCGTGCCTTCGTATGTAGGGTGCACCGATTGCATAAATATATCTCATGAATAATAAATACATGAGTAAATAAATAAGATGAAACAGTCTCACGCGAGCACAAATCTTGCCTGCTCGCTAGGCTTGTTTTATTGTTCCCCAGGTTAACAACTTCTTCGACTGAAAGAAGTTCCACAGGTTTCACCTCTTCAAAAGACCACGTCATGATTCACCGTATGTTATAAAATGAAGTTTACGCCAGTATATAAAATGATGACTGGCAGTTTTGGGCACGAAAGGATCTTCAGCATCCTGTCATTGTGAAACCTTCAGAATGGAGTGTTGAGACGAAATGTAATTACATTAACATGGGTTCATTTCCTCACACTCAGCGTAGTAAACACGAACATGGATTGCATTAAGAGCTAAAATTTGTATCAATAATCTGGGATTCATTTCCTATTCGTGGTTTCACATTTCAATATAATAATAAAAAAGGATTGCGACAGCCACAGCCACTTGGAAGTCCTGATTTGGGAATACTGTGAAGCCCTAAAAAAATATATAAATCGAGAGAGACAGAGTTAAAAGAATTATAGCACGCAGGGTTTCCCTTCAGCCAGGATTTCCTAGCTGATGGCAACATACTTCGCCGGGGGCGGGGGAGGAAGGGGAGGAGGGGGGGGGGGGTGCAGGGGAGGGAGAGGGAGGGAGGAAGGGAGGGAGGGAGGGAAGGAGGGGAGGGGAGAGGGGGTGTGGGTGGAGTTGTGGCAACAGACCGCCAAATTTCATTGGTTTTATGCCTTATGCAAGCGAGAGACTCAGTTCCGGTGAATATGAATTTTCCATTGTCGCCAGAACGTCAGAATATGACTCGATTGCTGTGGGAAGACAACGTGTACTTTTCCCGGGGATGGACTCACAGGCCTTTGATCACGCACGAAAATAATCGCCTGAGATTGGGAGATCATTTTGTCACGCTGACAAATTTTGGGATTTCGAATGCGAGAGCGTAAACCGGAGATTCCGCCGCGTGTCTAGCCCGAGTGGTTCCGAGAGGGAAAGGTCAGAAAGGTCACCGATTTCCGTGGGAGCTGCGAAGATGATTACAGACTCACCGAGGCGATTGGTGCTTTTCCTCTTCACCCTCAAGCAAATGGTGCGAGATCGAATGCACTGGGGAAGAAAACAATCCCGGGTGAGCGAGAGAGGATGAGAGCGAGAAGGGAGGGGAGAAGTGCATTGTGATGCAGTAATATACCTGGTGAATGTGGGAGATGACGTCAGTGTGCGAGCAGTTCTCGAGGGAGCGACCATTCACCTCGAGGATCTCGTCTCCGATCTCCAGGTCCGCTCGGTCGGCCGGCGATCCTGAGGGATGGAGAGGCAGACAACCGTTCGCTTTCGCTGTCCAGTCGGTGCCGAGCCGCCGCGGCGAGAGGAGGCACTCGCGACGAACCCCCCCCCCATGCTTGAATGAAATATCGCTTTGGAAAAACCGTCCAATTTCGGTGAGAACGCAGGCGGGGAATCAGAGGCTGCCTTCCCGAGCGGCTAATAACGTCGGTCTGGACCGCGGCGGTCCGTTCCCACACTCTCTCGCGGCTTCATTCGCCGTACCGAAATAGGGGGCATGGCATTTCTCGACGCGGTTTCTATCTCCTGCGGTTTCCCCAACGGCACGCTTGGGTGAAGGTGGAATTTTCCCTCTCCCTCTTGATGAGGAATTCCCTCTCCCCTGTCCAGATCATTATAGCAGTCCCCCCCCCCCCCCCCCCCCCCTTTAGGTTTGTGTACATAGCATCGTCACCGTATGCTACATCGAGTGAATCGAAAGTTTCACTGGCCGTTTTCCCAACTTTTTTTTTGGCACACTCGGAAATGCAGCCCCTTCTCGGCTCGCTAATGATCCCATGGGGGAAGGAAGGAAGAAACACAAAAGCGCGTAAATGATCGACTTCGGGATCTGCAGCCAAGATGAACAAAAAAAGACAACGAGGAATGAATCTCAATGTCTCCGAGGAAAAACTCATCTATTTTGGCACTCCCTTCCCCTTTTCTCATTGGCTAAATTACCTTCCGGCGCGATAAGGCCCCGGTTTCATAGTTGAAACCGGGGCCTTTTGTCCCCCTTTTTTCTCGCACTGTCCCGTGTTTCCTCTTTCGAAACGTCGGTTTCGGATCTCGCAATCCCCGAGATCGAGATTATTTCCTGTTTTCGGGGAGCAAAAAAAAAAAAAAAAAAAAAAAAAAAAAAAAAAAANAAAAAAAAAAAAAAAAAAAAAAAAAAAAAAAAAAAAAAAAAAAAAAAAAAAAAAAAAAAAAAAAAAAAAAAAAAAAAAAAAAAAAAAAAAAAAAAAAAAAAAAAAAAAAAAAAAAAAAAAAAAAAAAAAAAAAAAAAAAAAAAAAAAAAAAAAAAAAAAAAAAAAAAAAAAAAAAAAAAAAAAAAAAAAAAAAAAAAAAAAAAAAAAAAAAAAAAAAAAAAAAAAAAAAAAAAAAAAAAAAAAAAAAAAAAAAAAAAAAAAAAAAAAAAAAAAAAAAAAAAAAAAAAAAAAAAAAAAAAAAAAAAAAAAAAAAAAAAAAAAAAAAAAAAAAAAAAAAAAAAAAAAAAAAAAAATAATTTCCTTTTTCCGGGAAAAAAAAAAAAAAAAAAAAAAAAAAGAAAAAAAACAATCACGGCTTTAAAGCCGCTTCTATTCCCGGCTCCGAAATCACGCGAGAAGCCGTGAGAAAAGCCCGCTAATTAGAGCCATGTAAGGAGGCTGGATCGTGATTGAATCCTGATAAAAGAAAGAAAGAAAAAAAAATATATATATATAAGGGTCAGAACTCAGAGCACAAAGGGCAATCACGACGATAAATAACGAATGGTATTACCACCGTGAAACTTATTCCCATTTAAATCTCGCACCTTTCTTCCTCCCAGCTCAGCTCTCTTGTTTACTTCCGAAGCGCCGCATTTATTGCAACGTCATTTCAAGGCCATTTGCCCCAGAAAACCGACGCAAGCAACAATTTTGGCGTTTCGGACTGGATCAAATAGATAATATATACAAGGTCTGTTCAAAAAGTAAAGGGTGTTTATTTTTAAGGCAAGGTCACTCTCGGAGTCAGTCCACTGTGGAGAGCCGATAAAGGTTTTTTAAAAGGTTTTTAAAACCATTAAAGGTTTTTTTTTTTGGGCTCGCAGCGATTTTTACGATGTCGGAGAGTACCGAGCAACGTGTTTGTATTAAGTTTTGTTTTAAAATTGGGGAAACGGCCAGTGAAACTTTCGATTCACTCGATGTAGCATACGGTGACGATGCTATGTACACAAACCAAAAAAAAAAAAAATTAAGTCCGGAGGAAACGGCCCCAGAAAATGGGATTCCGTCGACCGGATTCGACTCCATGCGACTTTTTTTTTTTCGAAGCTCAAAAACTCCCTGAAAGAACGCCGATTGGATGGTGTCGATGCTTTCGAAAAATGAGATTAAGTACCATATTTGCATACAATCGTTCCGGATCCTTTTCGAACAGACCTCGTATATATGAAGGTTTTGCTCACCGTAGAGTTTGATTTTCTTGTCCTTGGTTTCCACCAGGATGATGACGTAGCCACCGAGGTCCACCATGGCTTGTCTTCGTTTCGCTTTTCCGCCTTTTCCGGGACCATTAAGGATCCTGGGGTCCGGTCCGTCCCGTGATTGTCTTCATCGAGGTCCCTCCGGTTTTGAAATATTATCGTGAGAAAAAAAAAAATTCGAAAGATCCTGTCGAGGAGAGGCGGACAACATCATTCCTCAAAGTCTTTCGAACCGGAAGATCGTTTGTTAAATTTTTTACTCTCCGAGTTTTCGAGTTGTAATGGATTCGTTTTTTTTTTTTCGGGAATCCGAGCTGAGCCCCTAACGAGATAATCTGGCGCTGCCACGAGGATCATGCGACACGCAACACGTGACGAGAAAGTATGAGAAATTGCTGGGAATTATCGGGGCAAAATGCAGGTCATGCGGGCGAATCGCGACGGCGATCCCCGATCTGATTTCGATACGGAGAGAAAGGGAGAGAGAAAAAAAAAGGGGGATGGAAGCGATACGCGGCTCCGGCATGGCGTGAAGAGGCGTGCTCGCGTCGACGGCGTGCCACCGAAGAAGGGGGGAAAAAAAGAGTCGACGACGTCACTTTCTTCCACGGAAACCGATCTGCAAGGATCACATCGGGTTCACTCTGTTTCAAGGCTCATTAAACTCAGGAGATATCGATCCCCGCGATCACACAGGAAGAGAAAGCCCCTCCCCCCTCACAAAACGGGGGCGTCAGCCCCCTGCCCCCCCCCCTTTCGGGGTCACCCAGGCACACGAAGAAACACGGGACGAGACGGGAGAGACGCTCCATGGAGGAGCCCGGGGCTCCATCCCGTCAGGGTATGAGGGAGGGGAGGACCTCTGAATCTACATCAGAGGAGGCCCCAGAACGGGGGTTTTCTAATCAATACAAGGGAGGAAGGAGGGAGACGGGAGGAGGGAGTCTGCTCCTGGTTCTTGCGCGTTTTCTCCGAGGGAAAACTTGCCTTCCCTTTCCCTTCCCTGGGCCCTTTTTTTCTCTTCTTTTTGTTTCCTCCTTATCTGTCTCCTCTCTCGCCATTCACACTGGCTTTGGGAATGCTCCTGTCAGCGGCTTTTCCCTCTCCCGAGGTATTTGCTGACTCCGGGGATTCGACGGCTCTGTCATGGGGGAGGGGGGGGGGGGGGGGTGGGGGGGGGGGGGGGGGGAAAGGCCATTTCCATATTCGACGGCTCTGTCATGGGGGAGGGGGGGGGAGGGGGGGGGGGGGGGGGGGGGAGAAAGGCCATTTCCATTCTCAAATACGGAATGAATGCCCGTGCGTTTTACAGGAAGGGGCCGGTGCCTGGCAAATAGGGAAAGTGTGTGTTGACCTTGGAGGAACACAAACAGCATCGTTTCCTCGGCAGGGTTTATTTTCTTCTTTTTTTTCCTCTTCGATATTTCTCTCGCGAGTTCTCGGATGACACTCTCCGAGATATTCTAATGCAGGAAGCTCTCGAGATACGATCTGAGGTGAACAAACGAGCTGACTATAGGGGGAAATGATGGACTCCGTGGTTTTCCCGACCTTCCCATTTACGACTGAGTAATTTCATGACCCTCGAGGGGGGGGGGGAAGACTTCCATACTTACACGGTTATTGCTCGGGAGAGGAAAAGCCTCGGAGGTCACGACTGGGTGAGCACATGGGCTACGACGGACTCGTTCAAAGAGTTTTCGTCCTCGACGGTGGGATACGTATCGGATACGCACATTAACGGCCATGGGAGGAAATGGAGTCGATTTTCTCACAGGGAACGGGGATGTGCAATTCTCCTCGCTTCGTCTCAAATTCCGCAGCTTCTCGCCTCCCCCTGGCATCTACGACGAATAGCGAAGAGGCAAGTGCGAGTCCATCGCGTCGGGGAAGGGACGAGAGAACCTCGGGATGGCGGCGATCCAGCGTGGAAAAAGTCATTGGGGGGATTGTCGAGATTATTTCCGGGCCGCGCCTTTATCTCCGCATGATCAACTGACCAAGGCCATTTCGTAGATTCCGGTCAATTGTCACTGCGTAGTGCGATGTGCGTTACCTGGCGAGACGGCGTACAGTTTGTGTTTTCACATAGCATAAGGGAGATGTCTCTGCTGTCTCATGATACACGACATCAAACCAATATGGCTGCCTCCTTATTCCTGTGGACGTTCGATGATCATTCTCTCCTTGTGGAGGTTGGTGGCTGCACTTTAGGGGTAAATATGGAGCCTAACATATATTAAATATATTATTTAAACATAAGCCGTTAATATTGTTTTTGGGAGTAGCGTCTGGAACAGTTTTCGTTGCTCAAGAGAAAAACAATAATGAACTGTGAACTATGGGCCCAGGGCCAGCGCGAACACTATGGTGACGCAAATTATTTAAATTTGAAATTCGTTGACGAATATCTCCTGTATCGAAGTGTTGGCTTCTGGGTTATGTTAATTTTTTTTTTAGCTGCTCTGAATAACAGGAAACTTTCTATTCTAAGCCTCAGGCCTTGCCCTACTTCGGACAATCGATTCTTAACGGCAGACGACACGTTTGCCAAGGCCTAGGCCGAGTTCACGGCTAATCGCTGTTCCTTCCTACCGTTTTGGGCACGTTTCAAGTTTACCCAAGCACTTAGAGGGTGGCTAGGTAAACTCAAAAAGAATCAGTCGAGCTCATCAAAGAGGAAGCGGGTAACGGTTGAGCGCTTACCCCCAAGAGAAAGTGTGCTTCACCAGTCTCCCATGTTTCCAGACGAATTCAACTGGAAACGTGCAACATGTGTAGATCACTATAAATTGGCTCATATAGTTCCATCATGGGGAACTGATTCACACACCTGTACTGGCTGAGCTCCATCTAAATGGTATCCCCTAACATTATGGACTAAGTTGTCTATCTTGACTGTTTTTCTGAAGGAGTACATGTAGCAGGCTCACATAACATATTTTATATTATCATTGGTCAATTATGTTGAAAATAGCCTTAGCATCCTAGGCCTATGCCTCAGAGTACTTGGTCCAGGGTAGCAGGCAGGAAGCACTTCTAGGGAGAGTCAGAGCAGAAGTCTCAATGGATCATCTTTCTTCATTCATGTTCTATTTCTGAGAGTGAATGTTTCCATTTTCCCCCTATTCTCTTCATTTGAAATCAATAAGGCCTTTCTGGTGGTATGGGTCTCATAAGCTGGAACTTCTGTAAGGGTAGTGTCACAGTTCTGATGAAAGATGCATTAAGATTGCATTTTGGACAAATGTGGAAGAAGAAGAATTGATGCTCTCTGATATCTTCAGTGACAATTTTGTTACCTTGTTATAATTTTGCAAATAGCAATAAACCTGATAATCCATTGAGAGGCTTCATAAATCATTCAAGAGTAGAAACTCTAATGATACCTTTTAAGAATGTGGTGTTGAAAGGGATTCCAGGGTAGTGAAAATTGAATTGTACATGGCCATCATTATGGAAGATTATATAGTTTATGTGTAAAAGCAAATTGGTACCCACATAATTCCTGGTGATGACTTGCTGCCCTCATGCATGCACCATACCTTGGGTTTGCTGCATTCCTTGCAATCCTGCAATGCAAAGCCACAGTAAACAGACTTTACCTCCCATACTAAATGAGGAGCCCTAGTTTTCTTAGGTAAAATGGTAATTGATTGTTAGCAAACACATAAATTTTGTAGTCTAAAAAAAGGTACAAGAAAATTTCAGCTGTGTTGAGACTTGAATTCACTGCCCTTGCTTGGATTGTATTTCTAAATAATATATTTTAGAGAGTGTTACCAGGTCAATCATTGTATTAAAATGAATTAAATGATGTGCTATGGTACCATATCTCAATTCCTTTACTATCCCCTATATTTTACTATATTTCCCAGTTAAGTTTAGTTCAGCTCAAGCATCTGAAATATTCTTTTGACTTGCATTCCAGGGATATTCAAGGTGGCATACCCTTGCTTTTATCTCTGTTAGCCCAGGTTATCTGACCTCCATTCCTGAAAAAAGTAGGGGAGAGCAGAATGAGAGGGGAAGCCCAGCCCTGCAATTAGGCAAACTGATCTGTGATCAAGTGACCCACTGGAGATGCAGTCAATCTTTAGACAAGTATTAGCCCTAACTCATCCCAATGAAACATGTCCAACATGATCTCATCCAAACAAGATCCATTTAAGGTGAGATGAGGAGTCATTTGCTGTCCTTGTTGTAATCTTTCTTTAGCCCTTTCAAAAGTAATTCAATTGGCATAGATTAATGAATCTAGTTAGTCCCATGCTTATATAACTAAACAAGAAGCAGAACAAAAGAGTGACTTTTCACATCACATTTGACCTTGAAGGATGTATCTCAAGGTATTTTTTACTGTCCTCTGCAGGAAGTCATGACTTGCAGACAAAGTTGGAAATGCTAGCTCATTGACAAGTTGATGTCCTTGAGAGGAGACCTACTTAGTCTTTCCTTCTGAACTGAACTTTTTTCCTTTTTATATAGTGGTTACTATGGTGGGCCTGCATAGGTCTGAAGTTGAAAGTAAAAGTGTTGATGATATCACCACTTTATTCCACCACCACTCTAAGGATTCAGACCCTCTTCCAAATCCTATAGCTGCTGAAGTGAGTCTTTATTTTTCATCTCAGGGAGTACTCCTTCTTGTGGAAAGAAGCAAAGCACAAAGTGAACAGGCCTTTGTTTTCCATCTATATTAACTTAATCTTGAAAAAGTGATGAGTGAAATAGGCCTTGGCTTTCATAATACCTAGGGTGCTTGAGGATTGCCAGAATGACATTGGACATCCTTATGATGACAAGGAAAATGCCTTGCAGTTAAGGCTCTCCTTCACAAGATCCCCCTGAATTATAGGTAAAATTTACATTTTGAGAGAATAACAGACTTGTAGCATGTGCTAGTATGCCAAAAAGTGTTCACTCTGGTTTCCTTTTGTGATGCAATTTTGCTCACAAAGATGACCCACTCATATGTTCTTGGATTCTGTTGGGTGTCAGTGTTTGGAATTTTTGTTTCATACACCTTTGATTTGAGATTTCCATTTATACAGAGTGGTGCAGAAAAAATGTTAACCCCTCTAAGGAGTTACTCTCTTTGATGACAATACTCATTACATACATATGGGTATCAAAGGGAATGTATAAAATATAAGTAAAAAACATCCCAGTAAAAGTGATTCAATGTAACTGGCCACCAGTGACTGGCAAGCATTTGCAGCAGGGTTGGACTACCAATTGACACACTTTGGCCCTCAGGTTGGTAGGGATGCATTCAAAGGCCTTGATTATTTGTTTTCTAAGTTCAGCTTTGATAGTTGACTTGGTTGTGTATATGTCTGTCTTCCACTTCACTCTAGAAGAAATTCAGTGATCAAAGTAATATGCAGTAATTATGGTGGGAGGGATAGGATGGTGCAGGGGGAGTTGAACACTCACCAGTCACCAAACCTTTTTTTCTATATGCAGTATTGAAGATGATTGGCTTTGCAGCCAAGCCAAGAACCACTACTAAACTCCAACATTGAATAATTGAGGTCTCTATGCACATCCCTGTTGACCTAGCACCAAAGTGTGTCACACCTGCCCATTGGTGTCACATATGCATAGCATCTAGATTGTGCACCTTTTCTGCAATGATAGATGTATGGAATAATTAGCCAAGTAAAGATTTTTTCTGTGCCAGTCTGTATATATAGATAATGTGCTTTTACATCTAGGGGACTAGTCCCCTGTAATACTCTATGTTGGATCAAATAGGAGGTCTGCTGGTGCTCTGGCTTCCAGGGAGGCAGCATTTTAGATCTGCAGAGAGAAATAGAGGAACTGAAGGGCCAATTGACCCAAAAAGAAGACGCTATAATGAAGATGGAAGCAACCATGCTCCAAGAAGCACAAGAATACCCACAAGGACCAGCAGCTGCTCTCAGAGAGGAGGTTTGCTTCTGGGAAGAAAAGCATGAACGGTGCCTTTTAAAATTCATGCTCGTCTCATTGTCCTAGGAAAATGCCAGAGATATGACATTGGTCTTGGATATTATAGGTTGCTGGAAGCACACCAGAAGCTTGCCCGAGTGAATCAAAGCCTCGAGGACAAGCTCCTGAAGGTTGTTGACAAATTTCAGTCTGAGAAGGAGACCTTGCTGGCAGATGTGAAGAGGCTTAGTGCTCAGGTTTCTCAAGCACAAGTTATCATGGCACAGATGCAGCAAGATTTGGTAAGAGTTGCAGTGCCAGCATAGCTGCAGTTTTTGTTCAAAGTTTTCATGTGCTTGTTACCTGAAAGTTATGTTACTTTTTTCAGGAACGATATAAGAATGATTGTGCCCTGGCAGTTCATCTCCTGCAGTGCAAGCCATCACAGTTCATTCCACAGAGTTTCAGTGAGGTATGCAAATCACTTTGATCTTGGTTATATTCATTCAAGTATATTCAAATTCATAAACCTGATTCAATTCTTTCTTGATAGCTTCCTAGTGAATTTCAAGAAAAAGTACGTAGCATGACAAAGAGCAAAACGAAGAGGCAGCCATTGAAGACTATGAGAGTGCCCATTTCCACTTTCCCTCCTACAGCTGTTTTCTTTTCCATCGAGAAGGATGGTAAATCCCTCATATTTCATCATTCTTTCTAGGGTGATGTATTCAGAATATCTGGCACAAGCCCTGTCAAATCTAAGCCATGGTGATTTCAAAAATTTCAGTTTTAACAACCCTGTCTTCAAATTCAATCCTAATTCAATATGTACAAAAAATTCAAATACATTCAACAATGAATAACTGATGCAAGTTTCATAGTTCTTGAAACAAGGCTGTTGATGTCAATCCTTTCCGTGAAATGTGAACGTTAATTCTGAAATGATTGTAAAGGCTTAATCCTTCTGATATTGTCAATTCATCAAAGCACCATTCAAAATTTTCTAAATTTCCATCTTAGCATAACTAAAGGACTGCTCAGTGAAAATTTGATCAATGAATTAATTTCCTCTGAACATTGATGGATGAACAGAAGCTCAGCTTGAAATCACCCATCCTGTGAGAGCTTTTCACTTGAACTCAAGCAGAGGTGGAGCAATAAAATCTGAAAATAGTCTTGCATAATATTGCCTGGCAGCCAAAGTCCATTGAGATTTTAAATATTCCCAGCCCCTGGTAAATACAGATTCAACAGTTGGGAAAGCTTCAATTTAAGAGATAGTCAAAATCAAAATGGCTGAGTTATGTATTGTATTGAATGTTTACTTAAATAATAAATTTTCTTTTCTCAGAAGAATCTCCTGGGAATGAAGAGAACAGGGATGAGCTAGTTTCAGCAGCTGTGCTTGCTCGGGTGCTTGAAGAACGGGAGAAGAGCGGTCACAAACACTGTAACACATGCAAGTGCTATACCCATCAGACTACAACGGGTAGTGATGCAAGTAGCTGGAGCTCTGAGGAATCCACTCAGACTGAAGGCACTCTCCAGACTGTGTCAGTTAATGCAAATGCTCCTTCACGCTGGAGGAAGCATTCCACAGAAACGGAGATTTGATACATCTTCAGTAATTCTCCTGTGCTCTACTTCCAAGTTGATTTAGTTATATTTCCCATGTTGAAGGTTTCCATTTCTCCTGGCATCCCTTTGGTGATAGGAAAAGCGTTCAGCAGCATACTGAGAATGGGAATGGAAAGGTCTTTCTAATTGGCTTGATGTTACCAATATATTTATTACTGATCACACTATTTTAAGATCGGCTTTTTGAAATCAAGCAATTATTTAAATCAAATAGATAAAGATTGAGCTGCTTCTCTTGTGGTAGCCATTTATCTCATTTTGGACAATAACACTGGGAACACCCAAAGGTTGAAGGGTTGGTTGGACTCACACTTGCTGATTGCATGCACAGGTTTTTTTTTTTCTTCCATTTTTTAAGGGTTAAATTTCATGGCATCAAACAGGTACAATTTCCAAGCCAGAGGTCTGGTTTGCATGATGACTGGATTTGAAGCAGAATTATTTTTTCATTATTCATTGGTGGTACCTGGTTCCTATTTTTTTCCTGTTGAATTGAAAATACAAGAAATAAGATCAGTAATTCCCTGGATGTTTCATTGGATTGCATGATTTTCACTACTGGCATGATTTGAATATATTGGACTCATGGTGAAGCCATGTTTGTCAGGCACATCTGAGAGACACTCAGTGACTTAGTAGCACACTGTGACTTTTTCACACATGCATGAGTGCAGCTATTGCACTGCAGGCAGTGGACAGTGCAGGTTTGCCTGTCCTGGCCTGATTAGAATGTGAATGTGCAACACACAGGACACTTTGAAGACAATATGATTAAAGTATTTCAGCCAATTCAATGCAACTAGTAATCACAGTGTTTTTTTCTCAGCAATATTAGGCATAGTAGTACATTTTGAGTATTCAGTCAACAGAGCTCTGGTGAGGCAAAGGTAAAAAAAAAACCAGGACCAATCCAGGAAATTGAGACAAATCTTCAGCACTGACACTGAACACCAGAGGTGATGGAGACAGAAGGTGGAACATATGTTTGTGGAATTCTCAGGTACACATCAACAATGGTGAATCATGTTTCAGCACATGTTGCATGTCTCATCTTGCCCTTCCTGACTGTGATATCTTGTGTTAAGTAAAGGTTGTGCCTGGATAGGCCATTCATCAGGGTATTATGAAAGAAGTAGGCTCATGGGAATGTACTTATTGTCTGGAAAAGTCATTGATGCATGGTATGTTGGAGCATTGGGACACTCATAAACTCTCTGATGCTGAATGCTCTACTCACCCTGACAAAAAATCCCCCTATTGGTCTCAATCAGTCAGACTATAAGGTGAATAAAGAAAGGTATTAATACTTTCCACTGACTTTTTCAATGAGTTTCACCATGGACAATTGCATGTTATCTTTACTAAAAGATAAAATCATGGTAATGTGAAGTAGCTATTGCTACTGGAGAGTGACTTTAAGATTATTTTTGTCTCTTATGCCAAAGTAAAAGTTGGTGCTGTTCATAGGTTCATGTTGAACATGAATCAGCTCAATATCACAACTGCATCAAACATTCCAGCTGGAACCGGCTTGAATGTAAATGGTGTAGGATATGCATAGCTTATTTATGGTAGAATTATAGTTTGATGCCCATACCCTTAAATAATATATTAAAAATATACTTTTCCAACAATCACTGCTTAAATGGGTATGTGTTGATTTTCATGTGGTTCCTATTTGTGGACACCAGTTTTTGTCAACAATTATGAACATGAGTAGGCTGAATAGAAAAATCTGGGAATGAGACATGTACAGCAATTATATTTATCTTCAATGAGGTCTTGTTAATAAATATCATTGGAAAAATTAAGGAATTCAGGGGTGCTAGGTCTAAAATTGAGCAAAAACGTCCAAGTTCACTCATGCTGATGGGTATGCATAATCTATATGGTGGCTGACAGGCAAGTGCAAAATATGGAGCATTTGAGGAAATAAATTTTCGGTGTGAATTTTGTGAAATGGCAAAAAACACAAAACTGTCCACAATAGGTGCCCGTCCACAAACTGGCACCTCTACCCTACTAAGCCATACTGGTTATGATTTGTATTTGTAATTATCTTCAGTTTGATTCCAGCCTTGATCACATATATAGGGTGGGCCAAAACATAAACCCAGACAGTTTTCAACTATACACATAAACCAAGTTGCCATGCTCTCAGAGGGAAACAGCATATGACCTTCAGTCATGAAGGCTGCTGCCTGTCCATCCCTGTCTGGTCCTGCAGCAACATATTTTTTGGCTGGTTTTTATGAGTTCCCAAATATCTGAATCCATTGAAGATATCTGAAATGAAAATACACAATTGTAAAGCTTAATCATTCCTCTTTCAAATGCCACAAACCACATTTAAATATATGCTGTGGGTGCAGTATGGTGTATTGTTTAAAACTGTCTGGTTTTTTTGACCCACCCTGTACATTAGGAATTTAATTAACCCTTTGATGGGTTGATGATGTATATATGTTTTTAAAAATGGCCACATTTTGGTAGTCCATTTTGGAGGTATTCTCATCCTTTTACATCTGCGGGCTGGTCACCATTGTATAACTTGTGTGCACCCAGACCAAATACCACTATCATGGACATAACAAACCTGACCAAAATTGGTGCATTGATCAGATCAACACCGACACTGAAAGGGTTAAACCCCTGATTTAGAAAAAAAAATTATTGCTACAGGGTGTGATCAGGTCCAAGGTGATATGTTATACCAGGGGTGTAAGGCCATTTCCAGTGGCCCATCACAACTGGTGGCATTGTGCTACAATGACTCCTGCCTTGTAGGCCACAGCTATGGAAGTAAGTCATTGGAGTAGATGTGGCCTGCTGTAGGTGAATAAAATTGTAAGTGGCCCGTACAGTCTTTTGATTTGTGCACCCTTGTGTTATACTGACAACAGATAGGTTGCATGTTCATTCTGTGTGGAAGAGGGATTATAGAAACTTCTGAGGATGGCAGAAGTGTCTTAGTCTCTCTTTCATTCTGGTGATTCCTTGAGAATTAACTCCCCAAAATTTAACAATTTTGAATGGAGATCAAAGGTGTGTCTTTAAGGAAAGGTTACAAATGGGCATGATTTGTTGTACAGTAAAGTAAATGGGGAATGGGAGTAAAAAGGGAGGGCTGTGCCTCATGGTATAGATCTCAAAGGTGGTTCATCACACTTCCAGACTGTCAAGAACCACAACTCACAAGCCACTCCAAACACTACTTGACTGAAAACTGGACAACTGGCAAACTCCAATAGCCTGGCTGGCTAAAAACTGATGCAGATGAGAACAAGGGTGTGGAAAGGGAAACCAGGCAGCTATTGTCAAGTCAACATGGAAACTAGGAGATCTTCCCCCTCTACTCATTACATCATACATAGCAGGGCACAAGGACTTCACATTGGAAGGTTTCAAGTGACAGGGCTTTGCTGAAGTGCATCTCACTTGGCAGTTATGATTCAAAATGTCAAAATGTATGGGCCATTTCTCATCTAAGACATCTCCAAAGAGTTGGAATATTCAAATGCTTTGTCAATTAAAGAATTCTAGCTTTCTTATCTTCTGAATAAATTATTACGAGTTGGACATGGTTTTCTGACTTCTTGGTAATATTGGTTAGGCAAGACAAATTCCAATCCTGCTATAGTTTACCCCCATGTTACCTAATTCAATGCCATCAGAAATCCAAACAGCCTTTTTCAGGTTGAAAGAGGCTGTTTAAAAATATGAATGGGCAGTGTGTGTATTATCTTGAATGGCATAGATTCAAATTAAGTGAATTTTAAAATGTAGGTGAGGAGGCAGATTTTGAGCCTAAGAGGGTCAGAATTTGTATTGACTACCCAACAACTCAATGCACCCAGACAAACTCCTAGAATAGTTACAATGATGTACATTCAGCACATTTTTTACTAGTAAGCCAATCAGGCTGGCCTACTTGCTGCACTGCAACACTTGAAGTATTCTTTCAGGCAGGGTGATTAAATGTATATGAAGTTCAATTTCCTCCTTTGCTAATAATAGGCAACACAAAACAATTGTTCATACATGTATAAGCAAGGGGAGATACCAGTTTTTTTTAATGGTTATCAAAATGTTGCCCATAAGTTGTAATTGCAATTGGGTCCAATTCAGGGATCCTTGGAAGACAGGTGCATAATTGGACATGCCTCAAGTTGAAGGTGGCTGGAAGTAGAACCAACAAAACTCCCAAGAACTTACTAGCAGTTCAAAAGTTCATGGAAGAGGAGATCCAAATCTCAAGATCAAGTGCAATTAAGAGGGAAAATATATAGCTTGTTTGAATAAATGGTGACGTTTACATAACTTCGAAGGGTAGAAAAAAAAAATTGGATAGTTTATTTAAGTTTCCATTAAACTCATCTTTGGCCAGTTCTGGATCATTCAATTTTGGTCACAGCATCAAGTGTACCAAACTGTAAAAGGATTGCAAACCATAACCACTGAATTATAAATATAAAGATCATAAACATTTACAGTGCAGATGGAATTGCAAGACATGAACCCAGGTCAATGATACAGTTCCATTCTCCTAGAGGCAATTACTCTTTGCTCACCTCCATGTAGGGCTAAGCTATACTGACCAAATCCAACAAAGAAATCCAGAAGTTATAACAGGACTTTAATCACAATTGAGACAAGGGAATGGGATTTCAAAGTCTTCCTGTAAGTCTCAATAGAGTTTCATGCAATGGCCGATGTTCCCACACTTGATGACAGCAACAGCATGGATAAGAAGTGATGCACTCCTGCTTGACCCACAGGATGAGATGAGGCTTCAACTGCACAGAGAACTAAAATCCTTCCTGATACTGTTTTGATTCCAGCCTTGCAATGATCTGTTCCAGCTGTCTTCTAGCTTCACACTGAGGGAAATTGTTAATGTCATAGTACTGTGGTGCAATCTTCACCAACCACTCAGCTGCAAGCAAGGAAAACAACCACGAAGGATGAAACAGAAAATTCAAGCAAAAAACAATGCTTTAGCAAAGCAAAATGAGCCAGTACCTTTGACATCAGTAACTGTACGAATGTAGTTCTTGGTTGTGAGGACAAATTCATTGTAAATGACCCATTCAGGCTTGTGATCCAAGCATGTTGATGGATGAAGCTGAACAACTTGATTATCTTTCACAGTGAGATAATGCCCAGTTCTCTCCAAGTGTGCCACCTATAAAATATATTTGATATTAATGATTGAGGTGAATGGTTCAAGCACTTTCCTTGTGGCCAAGAGAGCGGGCAGTTTGAAGGCTTCACCTGCATGAAGAAACCAGTCACAAGTGTCTTTCGGATGTTGACATAATATTCTCTGGAGGTGAAGTCAGTGGATGTCCTCTTGAGACTGAAGCGATCCATGATACGAGACAGCTGTTGCCTGACATTGTCAGCAGACTTCAGGGACCGGTAGTTGATGAAATTCTCATATGACCATTGTGGATCTTCCATATCTTCAAATAAGCAGTAATGTACAGTAAAAAAGAGGCCTCTTCACTTCTCAAATACACTCGACTCCACTTATTGGAATACTCTCGGGACCAGTGAAATTTTTTATATAATACAAAGTATTCCAATAACTGAAACTATCTTCAGTACAGTACTGTATATCAGGACCATGCAATGGTATTCCATTATGTGGAGTCAACTGTACTATGCTCTGAATGACCAGAAAATAAGAGTGGACTCAGACTCACTCTGCTTGAAGGCATGGTAGACATTGAGGAGTGTGAGATGATCCCCATCAATGTGTGCAAACCTCATCTTGGCTTCATCAGCTGCCTTCTTAGCTTCATTGGGCCTCACGAAGCATTGGGGCACTGAGCACAGGAACCAGTGAAATCATGAGCCACGTGAGTGAAATCATGAGTGTAGCCACCCCACATGGGTGGGATTCCAAGACAGCCCCATGCATGGGCTGCGATGGTAATGAAGAGATAGAGAAAGCTATAGAGTGATGTAAGCAGGCTTTTCAGGCACAGACCAGACAGCATGGCGGTGATGGACAGAATTTCATTGGAGCAATTGAACTGGGTAGAAGATATCAACATCTTGGCCAGTTGTGGATCCAAAGGGAATTCAGCCATGATGGCCCCCAGCTCTGTTAGGTTCCCATCATCATCCAGAGCTGCCAGATAATTCAGGAGCTCCAAAGCACGCATCAGAGTTTCAGGAGCTATAAGGATGAACACATACCTCATGTCTATGAAGTCACATCTTGACAAGAGAATAGGATTCTCATTTTTTTTTTACCTGGAGGATCCATGAAATCAAAATGTACAAGGTCATCAATGCCAAGCTTCTTCAGCTGTAACACGACTGATCCTAGGTTTGACCTCAAGATCTCTGGATAGGTATTGTCTTGCATTTCCTGAATGAAAACACACTTGTTGAAGCAACAGACTTCACAAAACAAATACTTAAAAAGGAATTAAACTGATGCAACAACTAAAAGGCAAAACAAACCTGCTTATATGCCTTTTCTGTGTATAGCCTGAAGCATTTCCCAGGCCTGGTTCTTCCAGCTCGACCTGCACGCTGTTGAGCTGAAGCCTTGCTAATAGGTGACACTAGGAGAGATTCCACTCGAATCCTTGGATTGTAAACCTGACAGAGAACAACACCCACTTTCAAGATAACTTTCCATCCACACTGTAGTGGAGATTTAGCTAGCAAGAAGCAATTGAAAATTCAATGTTCTCCTGAAGGGTTTTCAGTGAAAATATGTCAGGCAAAATAGGGTAGCCTTGGCAATGTTATAAATGGGAATTCCAACCAATCTATTTTGACAATGAATGGAAACTAACATCTCATATAGGCCTAAAGAAAGTCCATGGAAAAAAAACATACACTCAGTCCTAGATAACAAACTGGACAAACTTAACTTTACATCTTCAGCTGAAAGAAAATCCTGATTTGAACAGTTGAATTGGCAGATCTACAGCTGTATTCAATTGAAAACTTACTTATTCTAAGCAATTTGCTAAACTTCAATCATGCATTTGGGATGATGGAACATTTGCTAAGGTCTTAATAGAAATAATAACAAAACAGCCCCTAGTCATGTTGTGTTCTCATTCAGCAAGCAAAGGTGTGCCCGAAAGGTACTCAAGCATCTACATCAAGTAGGCCTAATTATACAACATATGACACACCTTCTGTTTGGAGAACCCTGGATCAATCACAAACACCACACCATCGATGGTTAAGGATGTTTCGGCAATATTTGTAGAAACTACAACCTTCCTTCCAATGGCACCATTGGGTTTATTGGGTGGAGGTGATTCAAAGATTCTCTGCTGAAGATTAGGTGGCAATGTGGAGTACAGTGGGATGCATTTGAGCTCTCCGACATCAGGACCAAGGTTATCAACCTCTCTCTTCAATCGTTTACATGCTTCCTCTATTTCCTATTTGAGGAGGCACATGGAAGTGAATTAGTATTTAATCAAAAGTCTGTCAACTCCCTTGATGCTCCATGAAAATTTCAAAGGTCAACCTCTTGCCCAGTGAGGAAAAGAAGGATGTCCCCAGGGATATCTTCACACATATGGATCTGAATAACAGTGCGAATGGCAGCTTCCAGGTAGTCTCGCTCTGGCTCAGGAGTATAGAAGATCTCAACAGGATGTGTCCTTCCAGGAACATTCATCAAAGGAGCATTGTCGAAGTATTGCTGCAGGAGAAAAGTGAGCAGCATGCCTATACTTTGTAATGGTCATGGAAATTTCATAACAATCCTGAAAAGTCAGGAATAATGCTTGAAAGGTCAAATATGAACATAAGGCATACCTGGAACTTGCCAGCATCAAGAGTAGCACTCATGATGACAATCTTGAGGTCTTCTCGCTGTCTTTTCACTTCTTTGAGTACACCCATGAGGATATCAGTGGCAAGAGTTCTCTCATGGGCCTCATCCAAGATGATTACTCCATAGGTATCAAGAAGTGGATCACTCATTGCTTCTCTCAGCAACATACCATCAGTCATGTACCTAGAAAACAGAAATGTGTCACTGATTAATGAGACAAAATTGACTGATATATTTTTGTATGTAAACAAACTAACTTTAGATAGGTTTTTGAAGATGAACAATCCTCAAATCGAATGGAGTAGCCCACTTCTTGTCCGAGAGCCACATCCATTTCTTCAGACACTCGCTGGGCGACGGACATAGCAGCCACTCTCCTTGGTTGTGTGCAGGCAACTCCTTTCTTTGCACCGGGGAATTTGAACCGGACATACTCCACACACCTATAAATATCCATAAAAGGCCTTGCTCCTGAAAAAGGAGTGACTGAAAATGAACTCAAATTAGTGGGAATGAGGCCTTACCACTGTGGAATTTGTGTTGTTTTTCCAGAACCTGTTTCCCCAACCAGAACTACTATCTGATGACCACGTAGGAGTTTCAAGAATTCTTCTTTGTATTCCCATACAGGTAATGCTATCCTCTTCCTAAAGAGCTCATAATACCTGCCAGGAAGCAGACCAAAATAAAGTTTTCATATGGCCTCATGCAAGTGTTACAAAGATCAGAGAATCACACCTTGGTGTGTAGGCCATTCCAGTTAAACTGTTCATTTGTACTGCTGGTTTTGGGACAGATGGTAGTTTCCTGTCATCATTTCCAGTTCTGTCGTTCTTCATGTCTCCTGAACCTTTGTCTTCGTCTTTGCTGAGAAACAAGTGGATAGGCAAAGGGGTGAGAAGACAAGATTATACTCAGTACTTGAAGAGAGCAAGTCTGAATTACTGTTTTTCCAGAAACATGAATGCCTACCACCACTATTAATACCTCCAGTCAAGGTAAAACCTCCAGATCCACATTTCATCAACAAAAAGTGAAAAAGAGCTAAACCTTCCAAAAAGAAAGAATAAAAAGGTTCTATGAGATTAGGCAATCTACATTTACATGAAAAGAACTTGTCTCAATTGAGAGGTCAAGGTCAAGAGGATAAGGTTTTCTTAAGTTTCTTATTCATTTATATTGAATGAGACATTGTCTCCACAATGCAGACAAAGAAAAATGCATGAGTGCAAGACACTTAGTTTCCACTCAAGGGAGATAGCATGCCCCCAACCAAAGACCTCCCTTTTCTTGCATCCATTTTGCATCATTAGGAAGACACAAGTATATAGAACACCACACAATCCATTCTCAAATTAAAACCAAGTAGGGGGGGAGGAGAAATTAGGGAGTTAATGATATAAAATGGGAGGAAGATAGAATGCCAGACTGGAACGCTATCTAATTTTCATACTCTCTAGATGCCAAATGTGAGAGGTTCATGGAAAGCTTTCTAGGGAAAGGGGTAGATACCATTTGTTCATCAGTTAAGGGCTGATGCAGCCATAATATTCATGATGCAATGACCCTGAAACATGATGAGGGGGCATACACTTCATTATGAAAAATTTATTTCTTAATTGATGTGAGCAGTCAAGATCCAAATCTCCAATATCTATTAGGGGCCAAAGTGGCAAAACAACAATTTGAGTGTCAAGGTGCCTTCAACTTTGTCCATCATCATAAGGATCATTAGAATCAATTCAAGAAAAGGAGCACAAAAAAACTCAATCACATTCACATTTCAAGGACAAAAATTTGGTATGGAAAGTCTGAACTTTACAGTCTTCCATGTAAAAAAAAATAAACATACTTTTAGCAATAAGTTAATAGCATGATGAGAATTAATATCTTACCTTTTCTTGACTGGTTTTGATTCTCCCAGGTCAATGCGATGACGCTTTGACATCTTCCAAGTACTTCCAGTACTAGGCTCTCTTTACATAAGGCCTAATCAAAACTACAACACACCACAGTTTACTTCAATGAGAGTCTAAAACTCCAACAATGTCAACTCATAACAGGTGGAAAAGGACCTTTTAAGGAAACCTTCTCATAGGCCAAGGTCCAGGCCCAACAACTTACCTAAAAAATTTAAGAAAAATCAAGTCAAACCTAAAAATAAGCATTGTCAATCTGATTTGGCTCAAGTGAGGCACAGGTTCTGCTGAAGATGTCAAGGCCAATACAAAATAAAAAGTGAACATGATTCATGATGCTAACTCCCCAAAGTGTAAGGGTCCATACTCCAACTCATCTTCCACACCTTCATATGCTTAATTGCATACAGAATTCTCCAAATTATTAGCAGCTGATACAATAAGGAACAATCATGATTACTTCTGCTACTGTTAATGACTTCTTGTGTTAGTCTATTCATCTATGAGATGGACAATACAACAACCTTAATACACCTTCATCACCACATTGCAACATGGCTAATTTATTCTCCAGTCAACTGCTGGTTATTGACTATATCTTGGAATTGCTCAACTTCATCTTCATTGCAACACTACCAGACATTTTCTATAAAAAAAAAAAACAACTTATGAAAGCAAAAATGAGCAGTGAAGGTCTTCAATCTTTTTTAGCCAGTCATCATTGGCTGACGACTACTCCATCCCATGAGAATCTCATCCAACCCTGCAAACTATTTCTCATTCCAATAGGGTTAAATAGTGATTGATTGCTGCACCTCCATTTCTTCTCTCTCCACCATAAGCAGCTACTGTTTTATTGCGAAGGATCAATTTATGTCTTTCTCCTCCGGCTGCCAGCGTACGCAGTAACAATTTGGGATGATAACTGCCAGGATATCAGCAATATGGGATTAGAATGAAAGAAAGGATAGCCCTTCAGGACTTACTCCCTTACCTTACCCAAAATACAAAAGTAATGGAGTATTACTCCATTGAGCACAAAGGAGACCTGTAAACGCCCACAAGCTATTTAAGAAAAAAGCTCAGTATCAATGTTACAATGTTTCTCACATACCGGTATTGAAGAGCTCAAAATATCTATAACACTCCGAAATGCCTAACAGAGACTGAAACATCGCCATAAGCTCAACGTTTTTATAACCTTATTGGGAAAGAAAAATATGTGGGGCTTATGCGAAAAAGCGTCGAACTCAACTGAAAAGCAGTGAGCACTGTCACATTACCACTGCACTAAATCGCGACCACGTCCTGCTCTTTCTCAGTTCCAATATGGCCAGATTGGATACGCCTAGTGATGTCGAAAAGTCAACTGATGAATCATTGTTTATACCATCTCCCTTGACCCCTATGCTGCAGACTAATGGAAAGACACCTAAGTGTATCAAATACTTATGCAACTAATATACGTATAATTTTTCGTTTATATCCATTTCATCATCGAATCGGAGAACGCAGCGAGAGAATCCTACAAGAATCAGTTTTTGCATCCCTGTCGCCATCTTCCTTTCCGTCGCCCTCCGTTGTTGAGTGAGCTGCTGATGTGACAGCCGTCCGGAGAAAAGTCACCATGGGTTTTCAGAACATTTGGTATTCTCATCCAAGAAAGTATGGACTAGGATCTCGAAGGTGGTAAGTTGCTTTTCGCGATATCCATAGGTCTTCATTACGTTACTTTGACCATTAGGCCAAGACCCATGGTGAATATTCTTGTTTCTTGCAGTCGTGCATGCAGCAATAGGCACGGACTGATCCGGAAGTACGGACTCAACCTTTGCAGGCAGTGCTTCAGGGAATATTCCGGTGAAATCGGATTCAAGAAGGTCAGTTAAAGGGAACTAGCCCTGGACATCAACAATTTGCATTAGCCAGTTGCTCCCTACCCATTTTTCATTTATTTCTTGCCGCTACGAAACTCCTTCGCGTTATCAAGTTATACATGAACACTGAACCCTGCCAATTTGAATGCGCTTTTGTCGTAGGACGTCTTATGACAGCTGCAGAGCCTGAAGCATTAATGGTGCCTAATAACTGAACATTGTTTTCGTGATGAGTTCATACACCCTAGTAATGCAAACAAATTTTTCTATGGGCCTACAGATAGCTGCCGAAGTAACATATTCTCTGATCTTACGTATGATGTAAATTGGTCTTCAGTGGATGTCCCTAGTCATAACACCTGTTGTGCCAGTGCCCTTAAGGGAGTGTGTGGACTCATGAAAGCACTATTGAGATTAGTTTGTCTGTGTGTGTGTTGGTGGCATAGATAAATGTTTATGGCAAGAGAGAAACCATGCATATTTTTTGGTTATACTAACTTGTCCTTGTGACCATTGTTGACCTTACTTTTCAATGTCTTTGTTACTAAAGCTATCAAATTGCTCTTTACATGTAGCTGTTCCTTTGGTTGTGCTTTCATTCTTATTGCTGCAAATTCAAGTGCATGAGTTTGTAGTATTAATCAATTCAAAACAAATTCTTGTTAGCACCCAAAGGCCACACTAAAAGCCTTTTTCGCATTTCACTTGCATTTCATGAAAAGACTAAAATGAATGAGTTGCATAAATTACATTATGTAGCTATTCATACATGATCTTATCAGGAATAAAAGCTTTTGCTTGCAGAAGAATTAAAAACAACATTGCCACAGTAATGCAATTATTCATGGATTCAGTTTTCATTTAATTAAAACTTAGGTGGCAGATTTTTTTATTGGTATTATAATCATGCTGTGTAATGGCATTGTTTTTTTTTTATTATCTACTAAAGTTAGTAGATAGTTTGTCTTAGCCTTACCTTTCAAATTTCATTTGATACAGATGTTTTTTTGCTTGTCTTCAACATTCATGCTCATGTCCAAGTCAAATGAAAAACAATCTTAACTCAAGTGAAAAACGCAAACATGTTGGCAGTGAAACAGTGTGCAAAATTTATCACCAGTGATACACAGCAGCCAAGGTGTTGTATTTGGTCTGGCTTCAGGTAAATGATTTTTTAAATTAATTATAGTATTTTTAGTTTAGTATAGTTTTCTACATTTCTTACAATAATTGCATTTAATCTGACTTATATCACTGGCTTTCTATGGCACCCTAATTGTGAGCAAATGTTTGTTCATAAAAATGCTAGAGAAATTTATCATCTTCAGCAGGAGTCTGAAACCTATGGCTCTGAAACCATGGAAGTCATGGCTAAAAATCATGGTGGTTCATTTTTCTCATGTAGTATCAAATTAGGCACATGTCTGTTTCCACCTTCATGAAATATTCTGTTTTGAAAATCTTTGGCTTAATCTCAATATGGCTCACGTGGCCAAAAAGGTTCCTGATCCCTGCTCTTGAAGAATCCAATAAAAGTAGCAGATATGCAGTGGAAAATGTTCATTTCTGCATTACAGATCTGAAAGATTTTCAACAGCCAAAGCATTACCTGCATTTGATTTTCTCACAAGATCACATTGTGAATGCTTTCTTCCCAGATGGACTAGCACACCAAGCCACATGGAGACATGGGCAGAAACTTCATCCACACATTTCACACCTATCATCTTCATCTGGAATCATCTTCAGTCAGGGGACATGTTTGTGGAGAATGTTTCTCCATTTGAGGAATAAAGGCTTGCCCTGGTGATTGCCAGTCAAGAGGCTTTATTTTATTCTTGATAACTTAGATCAACACAACATAATAGATCACAAGAACTCTCCTAACTCATGCATAAAAAGGCGCTTCATCTGGAAGCATGTGTTTCACAAGACAATACAGTGGAGAGAGGAAATCAATTGAGAAATAGGTGTGGAGTGACTCTGCCTCGCCCACGAAGATCTTTTCATGGAACAGTTATCACAGCATAGAGGACCAATCAAGAAGAGTCAAAATAAGCAACAGAATCAGGGAACAAAAAAAAACGAAGTTCCAACTAAGTTTACTCGCATGCAAACAAACTTGGTTTGGCTCATTGAACCAATGTCACTTGGAATTTATTTGTGGAACCTGAAGCTGTATTCACTATGAATATGAATCCAGACCACAATATAAGGATACCACTCATTGTCATTTGAGAATCCTTTTCACAGAATGAGAATATTCAACAATATCATCACCTTAGCACAATTCAGACAAAAGAAGAGGAAGTGGCAAATGCCTCTATATCTTCAGGCCTCAACTAAGGTGATACCAACATAAGGATATTACTAATGCACACTCTTTCCAATGAACATTAGTAACAAACTGATGCTAGAAGCATGTTAGTTGAGGCCTGTACATACGGTCTGCTGATATCAGAGTGCTCCCCAGTCCCCTTTACAATGCAAAATATCTCTACAAAATACCCAAGTCAGCCTTCCCACTCAATTGAAATGGAGGGGGGGGGGGGTTGAAAGGCACTGGTCTTTCAGAGGAATACAAAAATTAAATAGTAGAGGATACTTAATTAGAAGAGGAAAGCAGGTACTAGAGATGCACCAACACCATTCTTTTGCTAATACCGTGTCAACTTAAAATGCAGAATGGCTTTTTTATGTAGGTATACATAAACTTAAATGAACTACTCACAACATAGGATGTCAAAAAAGCATCACAAAGGCCACTCTAAAGGTATCAAGTATTGGAAGCAAATGGACTGTACCTGTTTTACAAAGGCCATTAATGGCATAAAATACATGGGCAATACTGACACCAGTATCAGTGCATCTCTAGCTGACACCCAATCAGAACTTATGAAAAAAAAGTATACTACACTTCCTGATATTTTTGTTGATGCACATTGAATTAAGATGAAAAAAAAATAATTTAACCACTTTTAAAGGTTATCTCACAACTATGCTTGGAGCATTCCAGATGGGAAAAGTTGCTGCAACTTCCACTGAAAGATCAAGCAAAAGGTGTCTTTAAATTTGTAAAAGAGGTACAATGGAACCAGATATTTCCTAGATATCTTCCACTGTGAACCTCTAACTGCATTATGCCTCCTGAAAGAATGTGGGAGAGATGGTACCAGAATACAAACAATAAAAGTACAAAATGCGACTGTTTGGAGCCATTGATCACAATAATTATTATGAATATGTTCCAAGGTTCAGAGCTGCCAAATACACTCCTAGGAGTGCATGAAAATTCACAAGATCATAAAGAAAGAATGGCATACATATGGCGCAGTATAGAATCTTTGGTGAGTAGGCAAGGAGGATAGTGCTAGACCTGTGACTTAATGACACAGTTACAGTCAAAATATTGAGCAAAAGCCTATTTTTGATACAATCAGAGGGGATCAGTGCAAAGCTGAGATAAAGTAATCAGTTTTTCATATTGTACCATTCTGAACTCCTTTGATTCTCCATGGAAATTTAACTATGGCAATCAGATACTCAACAGAAGATCACTTGTTGAAAGAGATTCACCTGAGGTAATGATTTTTTCAGCCAGATTTACATACAATACAGAATGAGAATAATTAAATGCACCTCCAAGCCAAATATTTCCACACAAAAAGTGCTCAACAAAAAGCACCATCAGAGGAGTAAAAATTAATCACTGATATGACTTATTATGCTATACACTATCATATTGCAGTACATGGGCGAAAATGAATGCATGAATGAATGAATAAATAAAGAGTCTCTCTAAACCGAGGGAAGTCACAGGTACTACCATCATTCGCCCAGCACACACATCTGAAAGAGAGACATCCAGAGCTATAAAAATGAAAAAACCGGAAGACTAGGATGCCAAAAAGGTGAATGCTGAATGTAGCAGGAGCATTGCTTAGTGGATGGTTGTAGAGAAGCAGATTCAGATTTCATATTGTCATTATGAATCTCAGCTTCATGAAGGATGAGAAATTCTTCTGGCTGGACTTGGTGGAGTTAAGTGGTGACCAACTTCATCCCCATCTGCACTTCGATCCTGTTCAAAATGGTATGATGGATGTAGGACAAAATAGAGATAAAGTTTTGAGAAGCCAACAATGGTTGTCTGTATGCTTTGATTTGGAGTATGCAATATGTAAATATACAAAAAATATGAGGCTTACTTTCTATTGTTGAAGCTCTAAACATTTTACTAACTTGCAATTGAAGCCTTTTTATGTTCCAAGCACAAAATTCATTGCTCTAATACTTTTGTTACATCACAGAAGAAAAGAAAAATGAGGCAGCTCCTTCTCACTTGGCCTTAGCTAAACTGCTCCCAAAAGGAGTAAATTTTGTCAGTTTTTTTTGTCTTGCTCAAAATAAGAAATAATAGGATCTGGTGAGAAATAACAGTCATGCATGTCTGCAGCTGTCAGTGCTACCATTCTTCAAAACTGCAGCCTCATGAATATTTTCATTATTTTTTTTTCATAGCAAAGGCACATGTTGCTTCTGTATCATAGAAATCAAATCCACTTTCCAATCACACAATGAGTGAAGAACCACCATCTCAAAGTTATCATAGAGAATGTTCTAGTGTGAAATGGATGCTGTCAGGTGAAAAACTGTCCTTAGAGCATGCAAAGATTCCATAGTAATTTAAAAGTCTCTTCACAACTTCTCCATTGAACTGAAGCAAAAAGGAACATGGCAGTATGGCCTTTCCCCATAAAAGAGATATCTTGCATGCCTTATTATTCCAATTTGACTTCTGCTCTCCATTTCACCCCTTCAACTACATAAAATTATGGATTGAGTAATTTGAAAAATAAAACAGAAGCGCACTTGGTCATCGGGATCTAAAGTCGCCAATGTGGTTGGTAATTCCATGAGTCTCTGAAGCTGGATTCCATCTCCAGGCCCCATATGAGTGATGTGACTGAAGTTTGATGGAGCCGAAATGATGCGACTCCGCCTGTCTCCACCCCTGAAGTATGAGGACAACATGCATTACATTTCCTCCATTTCCAAAGATGAGAATATTTGGTGTTGCTAAGTGCAAATTAAGCGAAAGAGTTACGCACAGCTTGGATATTTCCCTGATGGAGAATCTCCTTCCAGAAGGTGACTTCCCATCAGATGTTTCTGGTGGAGGAACACATATGATATCCCCAGCTGCAAAAGGAATAAAAGATTTCACAGTATTAAACACTGTTGCTGCTGCAATGCAAGATTGTTCCAACTAAATATGAGGGCTTACCAAGATGCAGATTCCTCAGGTAAAAAATATGAGGCATTTCTTGGATGTAGCAGAGACTCAGGATGGCAATGGACGTGAGTGGTTGAGCCCTCTTAATGTTCATTGTCTGGACCCATTCTGAAGTGGTGGAATTGAAGATGTTGATGTCCTGCTCACTATAGATCAGCACATATCCTGAATGGTGACCTAGGAAGAGAATTACAATTACCATCATGAAACTGAAACACCAGTAGATGGAAGCAAATTGAAAAAGCCAAAAGGAGACAAAAGAAACTTGCCAACAGCAAGAGGAAGAGTTGGGAACATGAGCTCAACTTCTCGAGTTTTCCTTCCATATCCATCCACATAAATCCCCAGAGTTGAGAAAATGAGCAAGAATTCATCTTCAGGCAACTCAACAGCACAGAGGGCATCAACTTGTGTGAATGCAAGGAATCCTACACTCTGATTCTCTGCTTGGATTAGAGCTGTGAAAAAGAATGAATGCATGCATAATTAGCAGTGATGAGACAAAAAAAAAACAGCAAAAATATAACACCTGGAAAAATGGAATAAGACAAGTCAAAATTTTAAGAAAGGGTCTTCCTCCATGTTCAACATATCTTTAGTCTGTGCAAATTCTTTAAAAGTTGAGCCCTACTTTTCATAGCAAGAAATTACCCTTCCACAAAATACTGGCAATAAAAACTTTTAAAATGTAGTAGTAGTTAGATATTGCACGTATTATGATTATGGTGCCCTCTAAAACACATAACACCTGAAATTTAAAAATTCCCTGAGATTTGATCATTTCAGAGGTAGCAGCTAATACATACATATTTCAGTTAAGACTGGTCAGTCCAGGAATCATTTTTCAAGTGTAATAAGTCTCATGTTTTTTGTTTATACTTAAATAGCTAAAAACATACATCCATTTGCAGGGGTTGTGAGTGTGCAGTACAGCACCACTTTATTGTTGCAGTTTCACACTTGGAACATATAACATTTTTATGGCCAAGGATCATGTGATGCATTGGAATTTGCAATTGGCGAGTGCCTTAATGAACATTTTAAACAATATGAGTGGTCACTTGTTGTCAGGAACAAATTGAATGACTCATAAGCAAGATGTCTCATGAAGCCAAAGTAAGAGACTTGACAATGCAATGGTTAATGACTTTCAATACAAGACATGGATAATCTTTCCAGGGAGAAAATTGAGGAAGGGTCCCATTAGACTCCATTGTGAATAAATAACCTGTGTTTCAAAGAAAATTGGACTTTTCTCTTGATGCATACCTTAACTACGATGCAAATTTCTAAATCATAGAACATTTGCAGAAAGTAGTGCATTAAACAAGTGGATATTACAATAAATACTGACTTGACTTCAGTTTCTCAATAGAGGAAAAAAGAAAGGCTTACGTCTGGGTGGATGTTCACCAAATATGCTATAAAGAGTGAAGCCACTCTGATAGCCAACACAGAGTCTTCCTTCGCTCACAACAGTCAGACACTGGACAGGGTTTGGTGTTGAAATTTCTCTCACTCTCCTATGACGATTCTTCTCTCGATTGATCTCGTAAACAATAACCTATGAGCCACATCAGTAAGAGTCTTAATACATGCAAAAATAAAAATACTGTGAAACAAGTTCAAGTGATCTCTTCACCTGTCTCTTGATGGCAACAGCAACACAAAATATTGGTGGAACTCCAGGTCTCATGACCCCTGTTGTGAAAGTAGAACAGCCTTTACTGTCAGGGACCTTGATCCAATCCACTTCTCCTCCATCAAGGGCTCGAACTGGAATCAGGCGTAACTGCCTCTGCTTCCCCGAGATGGCTATCAACAGCTGCTCTTCTCCTATGTATTCCACCTGATTTACTTTCCTCCCATCTCCCACCCTGGCAATTTCTGAAATCAAAGGTAACAGATATCCTCATTACATATGAAAAAAAAGCAGGTCAAAGTGTAAGAAGGAAGGCCATTTAAGAAAGTTAAGAGTACCTTTTCTGTCCAGGTCAATGCAGAATAAGCCATCATCAGAGCCCAGAACAATTCGATCAGGATCAATCACTGCTGCAGATGTGGTTGTCTTGATCACAGAGAGAGAGTTGTTCAACACTTCCTTGGCTCGGAAGACCTGCACATTAAGAAGAAACCATTTGATTGACCATGACAAGGAAGAATGATAGAAGTAACCCATGAAGAAAATAAAGACCATTCGAGAAGGGAGTTGGTTGCGCTTCAAAATTCGATGAAGCTCATTCAGGGCTAGCACCCATTTGGTTTTCTCACTCTCAGTATCAGCCATCATGAGGTGATATGCCTTATACCCTGGTGGATCCATCAATGATGTGGTCACCTGAACAAGAAAGAAGATCAATTGAGAATGAATCTTTCACATAAATTGAATTCATGAAGAGAAGCGAAAATCTCACTCTGAAAATGCATGGGACATCTTTCTTGTTTGCATGTATCACATCTTGCTCTCTGACATCAGTCACCTCAAACTCAGGATCTCGCATATCCAAGACCTGAGAAATGCTAACTGGGGGCAGTGCATTCCGATCCAATGGGACATCATAGAGGAAGAGTTTGAAGTCGCACACAACCACAAACTGTCTCTGCCAGCCTTTCTTCACCCCACCTGGCTTGGGCACCCTCACATACCCTTCATAGGCTGTCCCTATTCCTCTAGTGGGATCAATACCCAAGGGTCGACGATCTGTAAGATAACCAATTTTTTCAATCATATAATTCATCATACTCATGAAAGGATATCTGGAGCTATGGTGACAGTATTTTTCACTATGTAATTCAATGTATTGATAGAATGCAGAATTTTAGAGACAGTCAGTAGCATTAAAGCTATTACATGATGCTGTTACCTGGTGAGTAGATGAAATATACAGTACAAAAAAGAATGAATATCTCAACCACTCAGAAACCTGCTTTGTTACTTGATAGTGACCAGAAAATAGTATTTTGCAGTTTTTGTTCTTTACTGTGTTCCTAAGCATGATGAATTGATTAGAAGAGCATATGTGCCAGTAAATATTCATTTGGAACGTACCATAGCATGTTATACCACTATACTCATGTCTAGGAGGTAGCTTTGGGAATCCACACATCTCACAGATAGCAAATGTGATTGCGGTTAAAGCGAGTCAAAGACAACGTTCAGTCATTCTAGAGGGTGGCAATAATAGATTATATTAAGGCCAACAAAGATGCAACAAACAACAGGAATATAAATGGCATATTCTAGTGACTCATTTAGTTGTGCTTCTTTTCCTTGTTCAGGGTTAACTGATTATGCAATATGGCTAGTTGTAAACCAAATGATTGAGTGAGCTCATCAGCCTCATCTTACCCATCAATTTTCAAGGGGTTTGTGAAGAAGGGGAGGTCAAAACAGCATTGCTGGACCTTTTTTTGTCCGCATGCCACATCTCCACTAATTCATTTAGATTAGAACAAGCCACATTACAAAATCAATAATATCTGAAACATGGAAAAGAAGCCCACATGAATATACTATTAGGAGAAGCCATCTATGAACCTCTGGTCTGCCACATCTCAGCTGCCAAAAGGATATGCATCTATCAAAAGGATATGCCCTCTCATACAATATGATACTCTGAACTCACAGTTAAAAAGTGGCTCTACATTTCTGGGAATCTGGTACTCACTCTGGTCTGATGGAACAGGGCAGATGGGAGGAACGGAGTCCTTGCAGGCCATGTGACATGCAAAGCCACATACCTCACAAACAACCCCTTGTCGTGTAAGACCCAGCATCACTGATGTGCAATGGCTACATTTCAGGGGTTGATGGAAGGATCGTACTACAAACTGGTGGATTTTCTTCTGCATGGGGGAATACATCTGTATTCAATAAACAGAATGACAACAATGAAGAAAGAAAGGCAAAGAAAACATTTACATACTAACTACAACACTTCAATGTATCTTACGTGCTGTGAAGATGCAATAGATGGAGATGGGAAGTAATCACTTGAAGTGTCACTTCCCTTTCTTTTGTCATCTCCCTCAATTTCTCGACGTGGAGGTGGTGAGTCCTTAAGTAGTTGCTCCAGGAATGCACGGTGCGAGGCAGAGGACTGCAAAACTTTACAACATATATGCATGTATAATAAGAATCTGCTGAAGGTGATCCTGAACAGCACACTTTTAAAATTACAAACAATAGGTAAATGGAAGTAGGACTTCATGGGAATGCTCACACTAAGCCTGGGGGACCTGGAAGGGGGGAGAGGGAGTGGCAGAAACATGGCTGGAACTAGTGATAGCCATCAAGTCATTCTGGCTACAAATATGGGAAATCTGGGATCAGTCAAGGGCAAATATCAAGACCTAGATGTGCAGATCCTCAGTTGATGCTTGCGATGGCAGGTTCATGATGTATTTTACTGATTGCACATTATCATGCAAAGCTATGAGCAATTCTACTTTTAAAAATGAGCTGCATCGGCATTCAGCCAACAGTTCAGTCCAAATCCAGGAAGTCAATCCTGAGTTAGCACAAAGACTACAACTCAATGAAATCAATCTAACCTTCTTGAAGATATGCTCACATTCATGTTAGTTTTGTGCCCATTGTAGAGACACAGAGGCAAACATGACCGAAATTCATGGCTTACAACTTGATGAGAGGCAGAGTCAGAGGAGGATAGTGAAAAGCAGGAGAGCAAGGCTGCAGACACACGTGGTCACACCTATCACAGTGGCCAGTTTGTCTAAATATAAGCAAGTGGGGAGAAAAAAGCCCCCAAAATCATTCCCCTTTCAGTATTTACCTGACCTTCAGGCTGCATGAGAAAAATAACCAAGGATATCCTAAGCTTGGGAGAACAAACAAATACAAAATAAAATAAACAAACTTTTTGGGGAAAAAACCTGGAGAAACGGCGTCATAAACAATTCTACTTCCATAGAACTGAAAAGTAGCAATCAACTATGTCCTATTCAACTAACACCAAGAGACCTCTCCTTAATGACTCCATCTACCTTTTACTTCTTACATGAATGAGAGGAATCACTTTCCATGTTAATTCAAAAATGACTATAAGAACCAAATTACATCTGTCTCAATCATGCTTGGTAAATGACAAGAACATCAAATTTCCATGCTGGCACAGAGTATATTAATAGAGGGTTTTCCCTGGTGCCCCCTAGGAGGTAATAATTTCCCCACCTGATATCGCTTGGATGGGGTGTGTCACCCCCAATAGGTTGCCCTCCCCCCCCCCCCCCCCCAACCCTCCAGCCAAAATATGCCACAGGGGAACATGTGAGATGGGAGCCAATAAAGGTCAGACAGCAGTGGGGCTCAGGATCTGTTCAGACAAAAGCTTTCTCCTTTCCGGGGCCCCTACAGCTCAGTTTTCTTTTAGAAAGGTATATACAAACTAAATAGGAAGCAAGAAAGCAAATATTGGCTTTCCTTTGGGATTCACAGATTCTGCCTGGAGGGTAGAACTCCTCAACAGTATGATAACATGGCTTGAAGTTGGATGCAATACAGTGATGCAGAACCTGTTGATTGGCCAAGATTTAAAAGTTGATACTGTAAACTCAACCTGCAGCTCATGTAATGGTCTTGTATAGTATCTATAGCATTGCTTACCATGCTAAACTTGCACTTAGCATCCACTACAGTTTAATAACCACAGCTCCACAGTTCGGCATGAGATAATACAACTCCCTTCATATAGAAAAACACTAGTGATAATTTAAGATGTAACTGCTGGGAAGAGTGTAGTTGCTATTCTTCTCTATTCCATCCTCATTCTGACATTATTTGAATTTTGTTTTTCTCTTCAAGGACCTAACATTGTGCCTAAAATTATGTTTCCCATGAAAGTGTGACAAGGAATTCAGATAGTGGAAGAAAGGAATAAATTAAACCTTGCACACTTCTGACTGATTCCTCATTTCAAGGATGTAAATCCTTACCCATAAGAATGAAGGATTTGACAAATATAGAATGTGTGTGATAGGGGGAATGTATATATGAGTCAACAGATAAAGTAGAGGAGTATGATGATGACTTCTACATCAAGGAAATTATCTGTGAGTTCTGTTAAGGCAAACTTCTGCTTCACGTTCACTTCAGCATGGAATAAGGATTTCATTACTACTTCTCCTTGCTCTGACAATCCTGGTCTGGTTCTAATCCCTTCTCCTGTCTTGTTGACATAAATATCCAGATTGTGGAGATAATGCAACTTAATGACCATAGGAGATTTTGTAGGTTCTTGTTGCCTACACAAACAAGCAGTGAATGGACGTAATATAGATTCAGCCCTCTAAATGGAGATATATGATGCACCTTACATCAACTTCATAATAATGAGAGTTAACTAGTAGACTTTCTTTTCTTGTCAGGTGAGTTACAAACACTGAAAAACAATTACATCAAGTATAGATGATCAGGTAGCAATAACTCTCAATCAAGGAAGGTGCAAATGTGAAGTGTCTCTCCAATGTAGCATGTGCTTATGGTTCCTGACTTCTGAGATGCAATATCAAGTCTAATCTTATCGTCTCCATGATTCCCTCTTGGAGGCAGTCTCTGTCTTGGGAAATTGAAGTACAAAAGCAATCCTGTTACTGGAGCTACAAAGCAAGCCACAGGCTCAGAATGTCCCAATGAATAAAGATGCCTCAAAAGTAGGAACCCTGTTTCTCTTAAGTGGGATGGGGGCAGTCAGCCAGCTGACATCATATCACCCATTAATAGACTACAGGTCTAAATTGCTGTCCTATTGCCCATCATGAGAGTGTCTTGATTATTCACAAACTTCTACAACTTCCAATCAATGTAAAACATCAATGCAAGCTGCTTCTAAAAATGCAATTGCGAAGTTGCTTGAAATCACCTCTGAAATCTTACATCCATGTTGACAGATTCTTGGTAAATTTGAAGAGTGTATAGATTACCATCTATATCATCAAATCTCTTCCTTGCATGTTCTTGCATCAGGTTTCACATCTTTAACCACCCCTTATGAAATATTGCATATATTTATACATTCCTTCTGTTGTAGGCCCAAATTCAATGGGAAAAACCAGCCTAGCATATTATGACCTGGCAAATTCAATGAATTGTTTTCCTATGTAACTCCCATGCATTATATTCAGACTAACCAAGTGCAGGTACTCTACTGGGTTGGATCATATGTGGGGGGGGGACCAGTAAATAGTAAAGCATGCATGAATTTCCCAGACTGGAAGTAGAAGTTCTGAGCTTACCATTGACAAAGAGCTATTTAAATGAGAAAATCACAAAGAATACTGCAAATCAAATTGTTACAATAAGATGGACTGTGCATGATGCAATAAGTATTGGCATATGTGTTCTTAAAAATTTAAGACTACCCCCCTGTGATTGCATTCCTGAATTTAGACAAAGTATGTAGTGAGGAAATGCCAGACTTGAGTACAGGCATGATATAACATAAAAAATATGAGTAGTGGCATGTGAACTGTTGGCAGAATGAAGAATGAATGGCTCTTCTCTTTTCATGTTATGAATGCAAAGTCTTACATAGCACAGGATTAATTCATTGACTATTGTGAGGAACAATTCTTTATCAGCAAGTGGAAAGCAATGAGGGAGTTTTATCTATGGAGGAAAAAGCACTGATAGGGAGAGTAAAGAAGGAATGTGAGCACATGAGTACTTACAGGATCCATCTGCAGAATCAACACGTTGCTGGAGCTCTCGTACTTGAGCATCTTTGTGCATCAGTTCGGCTGCCATCTCCTCCAGCCGCCGCTTGAACTCGTCTCGTTCCCTAGATATTAGCACAGCCCATTCACAGGCATGAATTGTGTAGATTCTGGGATAAAGACAGTATTTCATCTTGAGAAGAGGTGACAAAGGGATTCAGACAAGGAAACCCACTTCTGGGCAGCAATCAGCTCAGCACGAGTTCGACTAAGCTCGCTGTTAATGGCCTGCTTTGCCTGGATTTCAGACTGGAGGCTGCTTTGAAGATTCAATAACTCCATCTTGTCAAGCTTCTGCGACCGCCGACTACGCCAACTCTGCATTTGGGATGTGTGTTCTCAGTAACATATATGGCTTTCATGACCAACATTCAATGTGGTTCAAAATAGGTCTAAGTATAAGCAACACAACAGGATTCCTTGCACAAAGAGCAACTTACAGGAGGAGCATTAAGGGAATTGGACAATCCAGTTGACTTCAATCCCTGAATTTCCTCATTCGTCTTGTAAACAACTGTTTGGAGGTAGCTCCGAATGTCCTTTTCATCACGGACCCTGGGGCACACGAGACAATGAGGAAAAATAAGCTTCATCACAACCATGAATAATATTGTAAACTGTCTCAAAGCCTCACTCATCACCCACCATTGGAGTAGCTCAGAGATTTGAGTCTCCCAGCGAGCAATAGCTCTCGCACATTCCTCTTCAGAATACTTATCTGGACTCTGTAAAAAGCATTCCATAAAATATAATGCAGATTTGTCTCTCTAAATTTTATAGGTAGAAAGACCACAGAAGACTAGACCTTGGAAATGTGATGGGATGTGTCTTCCAGGAGAAAATCTTTCATTTTATCTTGCCAATCGGCCTCACCATTGTCAGGGGTCACATGTGGCCTCTCTCTTTCTAGCTGCTGCTTCAAAGTTGCTACCTGCAAGACAAAATGGATGCTGGTAAAATGAATTCTACAAGGTTAGTGATGTCATGACCTGTAGATGTGTGTCTTTAACCTCTTCTTGAAGAGTATCCCTGACTGTCTCAGCCTCAGCAAGCCTTTTCTGAAGTGTCTCCAAGTCCCGTGACCACTTCATCTGATGTTGTACCAGATCTTCATCAAACTGGAATTTGGCTTTTTCTGCTTCCATCTTCCATCTGCAATATAAGCTTCATCATTCACAACTGACTTCACAAGGAGCAATAAGGCAGTGAATTATGAACATACCTGGCCACTTCTTGAGAAACAGCAGGTGAGGTCTCTCCTTCGTTCCACTTCTTCTGCTGTTTTGTCTCATTCTCAAGTTGCTTGGCATACTCCTCACTCCGCTCTCGTAGCTTCTTCTCAATAGCCACCTCTCCTTGCAGCTCATCCATGCGGGCTTCCAGGTCTCGGCGGAGTTTTTCAGCTCGCCTCACGTCTTGCCTCAATGCATCTATCTTTTTCATACTCGATTCCAGTTCTTCTTCCTTCTCACGTACCTGTCTCCCCAATTTCTGCTTTTGCATACGTAATTCTGTCAACCTGCAAAGCAAGAGCAAAGAAAAATATCAACAGCACTGACCTTGGGATCAACTTCTTCCATGAGATTATCTAGAAAGTCACTTACATGTCACTAACTTCTGAGTATTCAGACATGGCCAATTCTCTCTGGTTCTTTGCATCTTGAAGATCTTTCGTCTGGAGTTTCAATTTCTCCTTTGTTTCCAATAATTCCTATTCAAATATCATTTTCATTTCATAATGTTAAACTTTGCTATGAAGGTTGAGAGACTGAAGTACTGCAAATATAGCTGTTAACTCACTGATAAAACAGTGTCTTTTTCTCTTTGTAGTGTAGTCACTATGCCTTGAAGCTCCTTCAACTTCTCTGGGTGTTCTCCAATTTCTCTTCTAGTCACATGATCTCTCCCTGTGAATGTATTTCAACTCTATTGTATCCTGACATTTATCAGAGAATGACTCATACAAAATGAGGCTCACTTGGAATTTTTGGCTTAGAGCTCTCCACAACCTGTCCTCCATCCACTACTTCTTGATTCAATGCCTCAAGTATGAGGGACCCCAAGTCTGAAATTTTGCTGAAAATGTCAGAAAATCAAGTGTAAAGCCAAGGTAGAAGCACAAAACCTTGTCACAATGTGCCAAAACATTACTAGCAACTTTACTGTTCACATACCTCCCCTGTGTAAAAGTGAAGCCAACAAATGGTAGATGAAGGGCAGAAAATGCAGGATTAGAAGGTGGGGGATACGCCTCAAAACTTCTGGCTTCAGTTCCATCATCCACATCAAAGTTGGATGTGTCAGCTGGACTGCTAACTTCTGGGATGAAAGGGGCTCTCATCTCTTTTATGTGTTCCCAGTCCACTCCAGAAAACCAAGCATGATTCTGCAATTAAAAAAAGCATAGATTAGCCTAACATTATCCATGATTGATCAATCAGGTTCAAAAGGGCTTGTCCTCACCTTGAAGTCTTCTAATCCACTCCTTCCTAATCTAGCATCAGGCGAGCATATGAGTCGACCGATTAAGTCCTTAGCTTCAGGAGTAATGTCTGGTTCAGGTGGAAAACTAAAGCAATTCTGAAAAAACAAACTTGTGACTGAACACACAAGTCAATTTCTGAAAGACATTTCTATTTGCTAAAAAATACCACCACATTCTTGACATTCTTTTACATCATGGCACCAGGAAATACGGCTGTAGTTACCTTATGGTTCATGATCTTGCCATAGGTCTCAACAAGAGATTCAGCATAAAAGGGTGTCTCTCCATACAGCATCTCAAACATGCAGACTCCTAGTGACCACCAATCACACTCTGCCCCATAGTGCCCCTGTCCATCTTCCATGGCCTGGAGAATGAATTCCACATCAATATTGATACACCCTGAAGGATAAGGAGATATGGAAGAACCAAGACAATCTAGCTATATTCATTACCTGCAGAATTTCAGGAGAAATATAGTCTGGAGTGCCCACTGCCACACTGGAATGCACAGTCCCAGCATCATCCATTCGGAGGCACGAGCCAAAATCTGCCAGGCGTACATGCCCCTCAGCATCAAGCAAGACATTGTCAGGTTTAACATCACGGTGGACATAATGCAGTGAATGGATGGAATCAATAGCCAGGATCATTTCAGCAATGTAGAATCGGGCCATGTCCTCAGGCAGACGATCTTCAAACTTGCTCAACAAGGTCAGGAGATCACCACCACAGTAATAGTCCATCACAAGATACTAGAGAAACAAACAAGATGAGACTCTCATTATTAAAATCTCAAAACACAGGTTTAGGCAGAAGTGAGCAAGGCTTACCAAATTGTTTTCGTCCTGGAAGGCATAATGGAGATGGGTGATCCACCTACGGTCTCCAAATACGAGAACACTGCGCTCCTCCTGAAAGCAAGCAGTGTCTGCTCTCTTCAGCATTTCCCACTTGCTGAGAACCTTCATGGCATAAATTTTTTCTGTTCCTTTTAGCTTAACCACTGCCACTTCCCCAAAAGCTCCCCTCCCGATGACCTTGACAAGTTCAAAGTCATCTCGACTGAGCCGTAACTCCTTTACTCGAGACACAACAGTTTTTCCTATAAAAAGAAGTTAATGGCATGAAATCTGTCAAATTAGGAACAAAATTCATGGAAAGATTCTTCAGACTTACCAAATTCAATGAATTCAGAGACTGCTTTTTCTCGTCGAAGAGATGAGTTGCAGCACTCATCATAGACAACAATCAAAACATCCAAGAGCGTTTCAATGCTAAAATTTGGAGGGTCACATTGAGCAGGACTGGACAGAATCCATTTCTCCAAATCCTTCAGCCTTAGCTCAGCATTTATGGATTTACTTCCCATGCCTTGATAATTGATATGATGATGACAGCAATTTCCAGTGATGTCACCAAATGAGATTCCAAGAAGAAATATACAGTAGGATGATGGAAAACAAAGCCTATGAGCCAAGCCTGATGGATATCAGTTTGCTGGATGGATAAGCTTGTCTGGTGAGGTCCTCAGGTTTGGTCATAGCAAATGACATGAGAGGCAGGAACTGGTGTCCAAGAGGGCCTTTGAGTTCCATGAGTGGTAGTCATTCAACAGTGACAATTTCTGTCACCCTGGGTCATAATTTAACTCAGGCTGACTCAAGAAAAAGACCCTTTTGTTTCATTCATCTGGAGAAAAAAGGGGGCAAAGGAGAATTCATGATGGTTAGCTGGTTGGTTTTGAATAGTCTTAAAAGTATATGCTATAATCCTGATGTTGAAGAAAGACTCAGAGTCTTCTGGTTTTTTAAGTTTAGTAGGCCAGGTATAATTAGGTCTAATCATGTCCTGTGTTTCCTTCCTCACAAAGTCAAAATCTCTCCAATATTGGTTTAGGCCTATTCCAAGGCCTAAACAAGGTCCAAATATTATATAGCACCCACAAATGCTTAGTCTATGTTAGGCTATGCTAATAAACTTTTGTCCCATTGTATGCAAATATGCAAGTGTAATTATGGTGATGGCATCCCATTGTTCCTTTCTTACATTCTCATTAGATAGCATGCCATAGGTTAGTCTTAGGTCTAACATGACTGTTGATCATGCCATTGGCTGCGCAAGGCCTATTCATTTTAATGTCATGACCTCTTCTTCCACGATTGTGTCAAGTGTCATTTAGCTCATTTCCTAGGAGCGTAGGGAATAATATCGATTCCAATTAGGGCCGTCACGATATAGGTCCACGGAAGAGCTGGTTCCATCAGGCTTCGCCAGACAGCGGAATGAGGAAGGAAGGTGTCTAAATATTTGCAGGTGCGCGCAAGTGATGAGTTTTGGCTGAGCCCGGAAAAAAGAGTATTAAAAAAAACCGGCGCGACGACGGAAGCCACTTCAGCGCGGTTTAAGGCAGGGCAAGGAGCAGGCTTTATTCCCCCCCCCAAATCCCTATCCGTCTGCACTAGTTCCGGCTCCTCCCTGCATGATGCCTCGGCGCGGCCCAGATGAGACCCAGAATCGTGAAAGATTCTAAACAAAGCGAGACGTCATTTCTATTCTTTCTTCTCTTTATTCAGCTGTCAATAATTATAGATTATGCTGTTGCATTGGTCCTTCAAGTGGATGGCGGAAGCTAACTAACCTATGGCTAAGACTAACCTATGGCATGCTTTCAAAATTGCCATTGGAAAATCTTTCTTTCTAATATCGTGGAATTCACTTTCGACAACGTTCCACCCGTCCATACGTTTGCGTTCGGATGGTGTTTGCATGCACTCATCAAGCATCAAAATTAGATCTCGAAAAGCAACATATCGGTTTGCAGTAATATTTTAAAACTATTTGATTTATATTACATCGTCACATCCTTCGCTTTCAGCAATCATGCGCTAAGCTAGTTTATTATGTATAACATAAAAAATGTCCTCGTAAATGATAAAATCCACAACTCTCAACATTCAATGCTACTTAGAACTTATTCAGTTCAAAGAATCAGATTCTCATGAAAAGACTGGAAATTTTGCCGCTTGATTTTCCACAGAGAAGCAAAAATAATAATAATAATTTCCATGAGAAAGAATAAAGGAAGGACCTCACCATGCTCATAACATGGATAAGTCCTCAAGGATATGATTAGGAGAGGGTTGTCACAATGACCCTAATTCACCCAACAAAAAATAGGCCCAGTTCTTGAAACGTCCTTGAACTCAGAAAAAAATTTTTTATTCATGTTATAAATACTTTTATGAAAGAGGATCAAATGTTCCCATAGAACCATTTTCTATTCCTTGTCCTCCCATGCCCTTTATTTACATGTACAGCAACAGATGCACACTGCTTAAAGCTGCTCAAGTCTACTCAATGCAC